GTGTCCGACGCGATAACTTGCTTGTCGAGGGAAGCGTTTGAGAGCTATGACGAGGTTAAGGAGGTGCTCTTGAGACGTTATAAGTTGTCACCCGAGGCTTTCAGGCAAAGGTTCCGGTATACTAAAAAGGGGAATGAGTCACACGTTGACTTCGCGTTTCGTCTTAAAGCCGATTTGATTGAATGGCTCAAGGGCGAAGGTGTTTATGACGACCGCGATAAAGTTGTGGAATGCGTTGCATTGGAGCAATTCTACCGCTGCATCGAGGATAATGTCAGACTTTGGCTGCAGGACAGACTTGGGGAAGTACAGCTAAACAAGGCAGCTGAGTTAGCTGAGGAGTATTATACTCGCCGAAAGTTGCATAGCAGGGCAGTGCGCGTTGAAAAGGATGAAAGGAAAGAGGGCTTTTCAAGGAAACCTGATCAACGGAAACCCGTTCCGCACCGTAACTTCAAAAAGGACCCGTCTCTTACGAAGGACAGTGTAGGGGAAGGGCAAACAGAAGCGGAGAAATCGAGTGAGGTTTCTACCACACAGGCATTTGAATCGGAAAACAAACGGAAGCCGCTAATCTGCTACAACTGTAAAAAGGAAGGGCACATCGCTAGAAACTGTCAGGAAAAGTTTGCCTTCGCAACGATCCGAGAATCAGAAAAAAACATTCGGTTGTTGGAGCCGTATCTCCAAGAAATTAGGGTCAATGAGAAAACGTGCCGAGCACTTAGAGACTCAGCGGCAACCATGGACGTTGTCCATCCTTCATTGGTGTCTCCGGATGACTTCACAGGAGAATGCGCGTGGATCAGGCAAGTCGCCGAGGAGCAGAGTGTTCGCTTACCAATCGCCACGGTTGTCATTGAAGGCCCGTTCGGTAAGCTTCGCACCGAAGCGGCTGTGTCTGCCGCGCTGAACGATCGTTTTCCTTATCTTTTCTCCAACAACTCGGAGCAGCTCCTCAAAGAGCAGGGCAAATCGTTCTTCCCCAACTTTGCGTGCATGGCCCTCACGCGATCGCAAGCGCGAAAGCTTTCGCGGAGGCTGGACCTGGTTCCATGCGGTGAACTCTCAAGTGACCTTGTCGGCGGGTCGACGGAACCCCAGAAAGGAAAGTTTCCGCATGAGTCATGTGAGCAGTCACGCGAGCGGCCCGTCGTCGAACCGACCAGCGCGGCTTCCGTAGAAAGGGGAGACGACATGGCGCCATTGAGTCAGAGCGAGAGGGTTGCAACGCTCTCGTCTGTAGCGGAAAGTTGGAGCGAGCTGCCGAGAGTTGATCGAGAGACGCTCATTCGAGAGCAGAGTGAGGATCTCTCGATTGAAGCGCTAGTGGAAAGCCAAATTGAAGCGCTAGTGGAAAGCCAAATTGAAGCGCTAGTGGAAAGCCAAATTGAAGCGCTAGTGGAAAGCCAGAAAAACGCGGCAAAAGTGCTGTCGAAGGAGCACTACGGGGAATCGGTGAAGAAGCGTGCTTTTGAAGTAGGGAGTCAGGTAATGCTGCTGCAGCCGTTCAAAAAGAACAAGCTTGAGGTTGATTGGGAAGGGCCCGCCACAGTATTATCGAAGCCTTGCGATTCAAATTATGAAGTGAAATTAGGAAGGCGGCCGGACAAAATTTACAACTTGATGAAACCATACGTTCAACATCAAGCGGTCGTAAATCTGTTGTTGAATGCTTCAGAGGAAGAGGAAGCAGAAAGTTTGAGTTCTAGTGAGGTAATCGAAGGGGGATCGAAAGTAATCTGGGAGCAGTTGAACCTAGAGCCTAGCTAAGTGAAGGAGGACCTGAGAAGGAGGACCTGAGAAAGATTGTTTCCGAGTTTGGGTATGTGTTGTCGGACCGTCCCGGAGACACGACGGTGATCGAACCCGATATCGGGCTAAGCGGTGAGGAGTCAATCAGTAGCAAGCCGTATCGTTGTTCCCCTGTGCAACGTCGCAAGTGTGAGCCGCTCTTGGTGCCGCATAGGTATCGTCGCCTAAAAGTGGCCGGTTACTGAGGTGGAGCATGATACTCCAACAGCACAACTTTGACGTTCGCTACAAAAAAGGAAGGCTAAACGCTAATGCAGACGCATTGAGCCGTGCGTTTAGTTAGTACCTCTTCAACCTTTCGGTTTCTCGCTGGCGATTCGGGGCAAAATTTTGACCTCATCACGACCTGGGCTGAGCGCTCTCGTTCAGAGTGATCTCAAGGGGCCAACTTTATGTGGTATTCTAACTCGTTGCGGGGTTGTAATTGTGAAAAATTCAAGTTCTTACTTTAGGAGTCTTTTGTCCCACATGTGCCTCTTGATGTAGAGGGAACGAAATTCCGATAGACACGTAGATAGGTATATGTTGTTCTATACTTTGTCTGGTGTTCTGTTGGGTGACCGAGGGCACTTGCTTGTGTCGTGTGTTGTCTGTTGTCGAACCGTTCTTAGCAAGTTGCAGAACCATCGACAAGTGCTGAAACCGAAGATGGTCGGAAGAGACGAGCGAAGTTGGCCAGCAAGCTGTGGCGACAAGCCCGTGGAGCTGGGATCCGTCGTCAAAATGGGATGTGTTCCCGGAACAGTCTGGAGCTGTATTCTCCCCATGGCCATGGAGGCGAACCTGGAGGGACCGGGCGAACGGGCGCACCTGACATCCGAGCCCCGTGGAAGCAGCTCGTCTTTCCGGTGCATTGTCTGGCGGCGGGGGTGCTGTTATGCCAGCGAGTCCTCGTCAAACGTCCGTGCCTCTGAAACAGGCAATCTGGGTCAAGGCCAGCCCGCAGTCCGCCGGGCGCGAACAACTCCACGGCGTGAACACGCGCGGCGAATCTCTGGCCCACGTGCATTGAGTCAGTTGCGCACGTGACAGCGAGCCGGCGTCCTCATGTCTGGTGGTCTGACGCATCGCGCGGCGAACCTCATTGGAGGAGTCTGCTCTGACGACCAGCGGCGCTTCTGATTGGACGTTTTGGTTGGACCCGGTGCAAATAAAAGAAGCCCTGCGGCGTGTCGCGATCAGCGGTCTTAGGCGAAAGGCTGAACTATGTGTTAGAGAGAAGAGCTCGGCTCTTCGAGTCTCTGTCGGCCCCAGTGCCGAAATTGTAACGCCTCTGTATATATGCTGTACATAAACCTTGTTTGACTCACCGTCGTCTCGTCCGCTCGTCTGATCAGCTCTGCGCAGAAGCAGTCGCGAGCTGAGAAACATACGCTACCAAACGGCTGGTGACCTTCCCGGCGGAGTCGGAAGCAGTGGCGCCTTCGGCACCGTGTTGGCGTCGCCGTCTTTCTCAACAGTGGTGGCTTCGGCGGGATCGGTCCGTCGTTCGCAACAGTACTCTACTATGGGAGGACATTAAGCCGTCCCACAGGCCTCACACTAGATAGGACCATGTGTTTAGAAAAAGCTTTTTACTATTGAAACAGAGATTGATTAAGTGATATGTGGGGCTTAACGTCCCAAAACCACCAAATGATTATGAGAGACGCCGTAGTGGAGGGCTCCGGAAATTTCGACCACCTGGGGTTCTTTAACGTGCACCTAAATCTGAGCACACAGGCATACACCATTTCCGCCTCCATCCGAAATGCAGCCGCCGCAGCCGGGATTCGATCCCGTGACCTGCGGGTCAGCAGCCGAGTACCTTAGCCACTAGACCACCGCGGAGGGGCTATTGAAACAGGGAAGTTTATTGCAAACTTCTAACAGCACTTCCGGTGGGTACAACGATTTAGAGCACTAGGTACTCTACTAGGAGCGAGCCTAAAGCCGTCCCGTAGGCCTCACACTTGGTAAGGTCCTGTTGACGAAAATTACGACGTGAACGAGTTCATGACGCCAAATAAAGAGCGTTTGAGTTTGGAAAAAGTGCTTAAAAATTTAGAGCACTCGGTACTCTACCATTTTTTTTCGCCTATGCATTGCTTTTTTATGCTTGACATGATAGTTATGTCAGATTTTGTTCACTGTCTATATCCAATGACACATTGTGGTTTTTAGAATTTTTTGATAAGATGTTCCTTGCTTTTTCATGTAAAAACGATTAGATTTATGCCCAACCCCTGTAATGGCTCAATCGACCAACAGTATCTGTGAATAAATAAACAAATAAAATAAATAAGTAATACTGTTTTACAATATTTAAAAATTTTTACTAATGTGTTGAAATTTTCGTGTTGACAATGAATATGCTTGCGAATATTGTGTACCTTTTTTACGGCTTGCTCGATGTAATGGTGATTTTTCTACATTCCAGTGTTATTTTCGAAAAAACAGAATACACTGCAGTTTGTATAAGTAATAAACGTTATGCATTGATTGCTGAAATTTCCAATAGGAAGGTAATGCATGACTTAAAGAACGCCTGTTTAGCTGATTTTTATTGATATTTAGGTACTGCTGTCTGAATAAACACGATTTATCTGTAAAGTGGGCATGCATTTTTTTTTTTTTTTCGCAAGAACTGCCAACAGATGAACGTACTTTCAATAGCCGTGCCCGCAGCCTATTTGACCCTAAAAAACAGCTAAGGCAAGCACTCCCAAATAACAGTAGCAGAAACACCCGACCTGTGCACAAGAATGCTCAAACCAAAATTGAAAGCACTGTGGCGCGATGGCAAAACCGGGAAAAGATTAGCGTTGGTGAACGTGCTCAAATACGGCACCAAAAGGTGGACCGGCTGCATTTGCATTTGTATACACCATGTCCTAATAATTGATGCTATTTTAATCGTGCGCTTGACGGCGTGCATTTACTTCTAATACCAAAATCCGATCTTTTATATAATTCACTTGTCTTTTTATGTAGCCGCACTTCATTTTTTCCTGGACGCTAACACGTGACTGACGCTGTTGCCCGTAGCAATTGTATACCGTTGAGTGATTAAGCGGGTGGATGAAGGTACGGTTGCCGACACAGACCAAGGAAAGAGTTTGGAGGGAACACTGCGCAATGCGAAGGCAAGAAAGAAAGAAAGAAGGAGGAAAGAAAAAAATGGCAGCATATCCACGGGGTGAATGATGGAGAGTGGGGCGAAGCTTCGAAAGGTTCTATCGGCGAAAGGATCTATCTATCTATCTATCTATCTATCTATCTATCTATCTATCTATCCGTCCGTCCGTCCGTCCGCCCGCCCATCTATCTATCTATCCGTCTGTCCATCCGTCCGTCTGTCTATCCATCCACTATCCGTCTGTCCGTCTGTCTGTATGAAACTATCCATTTAGCCTGATGTGTCTCTGTTGTGTAAGTGGTACAACTTTGCTTGCTAGACAATTTGGAAAGCATGTGAAGCGTCTGTAATCCTATTATGACGTTCGAAACAGATCCGAGATATCCTTGCCACTTCGAAGAGTTGTCAATCGTCACTCCCAGCGAAGCCACGTCGGAGCAGGACTACTTGAAGAAAAGTGACGTCCTGCTGCAAGCACTAAGAAGCGTAAGTATTGCGCAATGTGCGTGACCGTGCTTGTGCGTGTGTGTGTTCTATTGCAATATGCGCATTGATTGATTGATATGTGGGGTTTAACGTCCCAAAACTACTATATGATTATGAGAGACGCCGTAGTGGAGGGCTCCGGAAATTTAGACCACCTGGGGTTCTTTAACGTGCACCCAAATCTGAGCACACGGGCCTACAACATTTCCGCCTCCATCGGAAATGCATCCGCCGCAGCCGGGATTCGAACCCACGCCCTGCGGGTCAGCAGCCGAGTACCTTAGCCACTAGACCACCGCGGCGGGTGCAATATGCGCATGTCAAATGCTAACCGAAAGAAAGAAGTGAACTTGAAACACATGCAGCATAATTGATAACAAACTCACCGTAATCGTACGTTTAATGCGTGCAAAGATAACAGCGCACAGGCTTCTATATATAAAAACATGTTCGCGCATTGAATGTTTCAACAGTACTATTTACTTTGGCATTGTGAATGACATCTAAAACATCATGGTCCCTTCTTGACGCACTCTGGAGTAGTTGCGTCGAGAAGAGTGTGATTATTACAACAACAACAACAACAACAACAACAACAACAACAACAACAACAACAACAACAACAACAACAACAACAACAACAACAACAACAACAACAACAACAACAACAACAACAACAACAACAACAACAACAACAACAACAACAACAACAACAACAATAATAATAATAATAATAATAATAATAATAATAATAATAATAATAGGAGGGCTTAACAACCCAAAAACCCCGATATGAATATGAAACACGTCGTAGAGGAAGTTTTGATCATCTAGTGCTGTTTCACGTTCGCTGACGTCACACAGTACACGGGCGTCTACCATATCGTCTACATCGAAATGCCCCCGCCGGGATGGAACCTGCGACCTTCGGATGAGCCGCCAAGCCCCCAAGCCACCGATCCACCGAGGCCTACAAAGTGATTAATATCAATGTGACTGCGTATTCTAGAAAATGTTTCTAACGTATTATGTAACAAATAAATTATTGAAAAAATAAAATGCAAATTAATTTCATATATATTAGATCAATAAATGACAGCCTTCAAAGTGCCTGTATTTCTCTCAGGTATTCGGAAATAAATACAATACCTTGTTTGCGTGGTAATAGACGACTTACATTCCCTTCTACCTTCATTGCAAATAAGATTAGATAAATAAACGTATTCAATGGTTACACTATCAACAAATAGGCCTACATAACATGGCCCGATTGCCTATAGTGAGTATGTCTTGATAAACTGCACGACTCTCTCACCTTACACGAAGCGCCAAAGCATGCCCTCGTAAGAATGATGTACTAGGTTTGATGCTTTAGACGGCAAATATGGCGAACTGCCGACAGCTACATTTAACACCGTTAATGTATATAGCTAAATTATTGCGCTGCAGTCGAAAGGAAAGACATGTTTTTTTTCTCACTGTGAAACCAATACCGGATGCTCCAGGTAAGCATTTAACTTACAGGTGACGAAACATTTTACCGGCCCTCACATGTTACGTGTTCTCCGAGCTGCACTTCGAATCCCTCAAGCTACGACGCACGAATTGTTATGGTATATGTAGAGCGCAGCCTGAAGAAGCCGTGCTGAAGACAGTTCGTTCTTGTGCAGGTTGAAGCGGAAGATCTCGGCTCGCGGATCACTAAAGTTCTCCTGGTAGGACGACGCGTCGGACCAGGGCGGCGCTACCTGAAGGCGTTCGAGGCCCGCGGAGTCCAGGCCGAGATCTACGCGCCACTCGGCAGGGCAGGCCAATGTAAGAGTGTTTGCCGAGGGGGCAAGGTTGGGCTTAGTACACCTTCCCGAATCGCGCTGTGGTACGTGTAACATTCATTACATTTACTCTCATAGGTTCCTACAAAGGATAGACCCCACTTATACAGTCTCTTTTTCATTCATACATTCGTTTACCGATGCCATTGATGCCATCACAAGCTACATTGTCATATGCACCCCTCCCGTCACGCAAAAGCGCAATATGAGAAACGGTGTACGACCGACACCTCCAATGCACTAAGTGCAGGATAAAGCAACGAAACCATGAGATAAAAAATGCAAAAGTGGCAAAAAGATTGACCCTAGGGCTTAATATCATGTTGTGCTGTCCACGTGACGGCCCCATCGAGCCATTCCTGCGTATTAGCGATGTGTCTGATGATACATTACTAGGTGTATTTCCCCTTAAAATAAGCGCTTAACACAAATTGTGAAGTTTCAGCCTCTAACTTTTTGGTTGTTTTTTTCCTTGGATGGTCACTGCAGCACATCGGTGAAGGCAACTTTCATGGATGTCAGGTTTCCTGAAAGGCCAATCCTTCAAACATGTTTAACTGGAACGCCTGTCTAACCACATTGAATAGATAAGTAGAATTTGAAGCACTATAAATGATATGTGTCGTAAAAGTGGAACCAATATGACGAAAAAAAAAATAGTTGGAGATTACGTTAGCAATCGTGTAGTGTACTTAGTAACGCATTGACCTATACAATGCAGAACCTTACTCTTTGCAAACTATAACGTACGAAGTGCATGCATTGTGAGGGACACGTATTCAATTACCCTTACGTTTTCAGGCGACAGCGTTTCTCTTCCTCCGCCTCTCCCCATACCGAAGCTCTTTGCACATCATGCACCATTCGCATCGCCTCCGGCATCCGCCCAGCTTTCCCCAGGCGATGGTATTCTTGGTAACGTCATCACGTGAGGTCACGATTACGTCATAATGCCTACGCATTGTATGGCCTCACAACGTGATGTCATTCATGACGTATGTTAACTGCAATTTTTGTGCCACCTTATTCGCGTGCTGTAATTCGCTCAAGGGGCCTCGCAACGAGACACTTAAACATTTCCTTTACAAAAAGAGAAAAAGAACCGAAAACTTGAAAATACGTTGAAGTGACCTACTTTGCGCAGATTGATTTCTCTAACACACAACGCAAGCGAATAATGACACAGTGCTATTAGTGTCAGTGCGCATTGCACCGCATCGTATGGTTTCTGGTGCGCATTGTTTCTAAGTACAGCTTATTCAGTTCAATTACGCAATCCTCCAGGTGTTAATCAAGAAATGACATCAGTACTGACGTTTTTCAAAGACAGGGCCCATATTCACGATGACATTGTCATTAAATAGTTGTCGTAAGGACGAGTGCCAGAGTGTTTGTGATTTCGGGCTGGTGCCTATATATAGCAATGTTACCGACCAGCCTAAAACGCATCGTAGGTTTGCGAATGTGACCCAGATGCTTACCCTGAATATCACTCCTAAAATAATCAAGCCGCAATATGCTACTTCATCTCACAAAATAAAAATGACGAAAAGACCACGAGAAGTATGTCAGCTTTTAAATTTTCTGAGCTTGTTCCATGTTTTTTTTTTCCGTTCCGTATAAACGCGCTCTCACTGCAATCAAATACACATAAGCACTAACCGACTGCACTAATGACATTCCGAGGATTGATTTGAACCCAATATGTTATAAAGAGCATTGTTTTGAAGACTTCACGAGAGAGCGGGACAAAGTTTGAAAGGTCTTCGACATTTAATGTCGAAACAGCGTAAGAGAGAGAGAGAGAGAGAAACGTTCTCTACGGCAGAAGTCTCCAACAAAATGAATACGGTGGGCAGCATCCACTGTTACAGAAGCAAACGACGAGGCATAAACCGGATCATTCAAAGAGTTAGTGATGTACGTTGTTTGGTGTTGATATTCATTCCCCCTTTCCCCACCACTAGTCAAGTGTTCCCAACCAAGCCAAGCTTGGTTAACCTACCTGCCTCTCCCCTTCGCTTTTCTCTCTCTGTCTCTATAGTATTGTCATTTAGTGCTCTATACTGCAAACCACTCTCTACTTTACACTCTATATTTCATACTTCCTGCATCTATGTCCCTTCGCTTTCAGCCAAATGTGACCCTTCGACGCTCTGGATCTGCCTCGGTCCATGCGGACAGCTGGGGAAAAAGTGTCCGTCAGAAAAGCGAAAAAAGGTATGCGACATCCATTATCTTTTCGCACTAATATGCAACTGACTCACAAATGTGTACACTTGTCCCACGCATTTAGCCGCACTAGAAAATGGCGTAGATGAATCCAAAGAAAGCTTGTGCCTCGTTATTACATCCGCATAGGGACTCATTTATTTAGTTATCGTGACACAAATAAACGTTTCGTGCCGACTTTCGGTGACTGTTGAAAAATAAAGAACTGTGGAGGTGACCTTAATCCTTGACTTTGGTGTCTGGTGGTGCCAGATAGCTTCCTATATATACACTAGGGGGAACTCTGGCGCTAGTGTCTATGGAAGCTGCAATGCACGGCACTTTATCCTGCATGGAAATGATAGGTAGCACACGGATTTGTCCAATCTTCATTCTTTCGGCTCTATTTGACACCGCGTGGCCCAAATCGGCTTTTCCGAAATAGGAAATTCAGCAAAGGTTGAACGTTTGCTCTTCACCACCTTGGCATTTTTAGACACCAATTAAAATATGCGCATGAAGTTCACAACGGTTCATTATTTTACTGGAAACAAAACCAAAACACAACAATAAAAAAAAGCCACATGCGCGTTCGAAGTCCGCAAGCATGAAGACTTGGAAAATATGTGTACTATCGATCACTTCCATGGTGGCTGAATAATCGCACAGCCATAGTTCCCTCGAGTAAATATTGTAGAAAAATGTACGGGCGGGCGGTGGCACTCTGACGTCGGCACTCGTGTGCCTCTGGAGTATTCTTTGGCTTAACCTTGTGTTTGGTCGCGATTCTCAAGTGAATATCGGAGGCCATGCAAAAGAAGCGAGTCGTTTAGATCAGCTTTTCCATGTGGAGCGGTGATTCCAGCTACTTACGGTCTTTCGCTGAACTGAATAAATATTTATAATTATTGTGTTAAGCTATAATTAGTACTGATACGATGTGAACTAATGTCCCTATATTATATGTATCCACAATGCTTCACTTGAACCGTAACCACCGCTTTTTATTCCTTCGAAGACCTTTCACCAATATTCGTAAAACCAGAAGTAAGTGATTGACCAGATTGGCTTCTACAAGAAACAGAACTGTCACTCGGTGCTTGGTCAACTAACAAATTGATGTTACTTTTTCAACATAAGATATAAAAAATGAACAACCACAGGTAAGTAAGTTGCTCTTCGGACATCGGTGAATGAACGAGTCGTCTTATTCTATAATGCGGTCGTTGCAGCTCATGAAAAGGAATGAGTTACACTTTAGCGACCAACGAGTACATGTGATTGACACTCAGTTTGTACTTTGACAACACATATCCTGCATCTGGTTCTGCGCGAGGTATTATCAACAGTGAACATTGATACTTTATGACGAGTGTCACATGGAAAAGTTGTGCTTTGAAATCTCTATCCGCAGGTCAACCACGTCGAATTGCTCAGTGAACAGCTGGGTGAGAGAGACGCGCTCTGCAACACACTGAGCACCCTCAGAAGACTTAGCGGTGAGTTGAGCATTGAGAGTGATCGCGGGAAAAGTAACAATGGTGATGCGATGTATTAGCTGTGGTGCACGTGCGACTCGAAATTAAAATGAAACAAAACATTGTACATTAGTCGGTGTTCTAAACAGACGTTACACTAGCGCTGCACAAAGGTAGGGGTAGTGACCTAATGATGTAATCCATAGCGTCGCTTGTAATTACGGTACATTGTTAAGGCGGAACCGGAAGATTACAAGTACGTCCTTTCTGGAGAGCGAGAAAGCAGATACATTGAGATAGACATGAACTCTATTTTACAACAAACCATTACTTTCGCTAAATCTACCACTGCCATTTTTTTTCGAGTCCTGCATACTCATTTGATTTCGATCAAGCACGGGATATTTCACGTGGATATACCTGTAGGATGCGTATAAGTGAGTGTGTGCAGCTAAGTGAACAACGCAACGGCAATTGGCAAACATGCTACATACAATATTGTCGCGAGAGGAAACGATAGGCAGGAACTCGAAGTGGAGGACTGTTTACTCAGCCACAGCTGCCATTCACTTCTTCGCTCTCGTCTTCTGCCACCAACACAGCGTGGCATTACCCTCTCCCCAAAGAAAAAAAAGAAGAAGAAGCATCGCATGAATACCACGGCTCCGAAAAACAACGAAAGGTAGTCAGAAATGTCTGTGTCCTTTGAAAAGAAAAAGGACGAGATGAAAAATAAAGAAGCAAGAAAGTAATGCACAATTGTCTTGAAGGCTATTGCCACATCACAAAGTTCTTGACTTGCAGTCAACGCGAATAGTACGGCTTCATCCTGGAGACGTGAACCACATCCGAGGAGCGTGGTCTGCGAGAACGGTGTGACGTGTCTGCTGGGACAACTTCGTAGTTCACTTCGCCGAGGCGATGAAGAACTCGGTAGGGTCCGAAGTACCGACACAACAATTTTTCTGAGCGTCCCCGTTGACGTATAGGAGTCCAAACCCAGACTAGGTCACCGGGTTCGTATATTACTGCTCTGTGGTGGGTGTTGTATCGGCGAGCATCTTGATTTTGCCGCGATAAAATGCGAAAGCGCGCCAGCTGCCGGGCGTCTTCGGCACGCTGAACAAATACATCTGCGTCCGGGGTAATCGTGTCCGGCAGAGTTGGTTGCAGCATGGTGTCAAGCATTGTGGTGACGTCGCGGCCGTAAACCAGACGAAAAGGAGCAAAGCCGGTGGTTTCCTGCAAAGCCGTATTGTAGGCAAATGTTATATACGGAAGGATTTCATCCCAATTCTTCTGATCCTTGGCGACATACATCGAAAGCATATCTGCAATCGTTTTGTTAAGGCGTTCGGTTAACCCAGTTAGTCTGTGGGTGGTACGCAGTTGCTGTTCGGTGCGTCGTGCCGCTCAGCAACAGGATCTGTCGGAGCAACTGTGCCGTAAAAGCAGTACCACGATCTGTGATGACGACAGCGGGAGCACCGTGGCGGAGAACGATGTTCTTGATGAAAAAGTCAGCCACCTCGGAAGCAGTTGCTCGCTGGGCGGCTTGTGTTTCGCAGTATCTGGTCAAGTAGTCGGTGGCAACCACAATCCAGCGGTTACCAGCCGTAGACTTCGGAAATGGGCCGAGTAAATCCATCCCGACCTTTTCAAAAGGTGCGTGAGGGGGTCGCAAAGGCTGAAGCAGACCGGCTGGTTTCGTCGTTGGAGTTTTGCGGCGCTGACAGGCTGTGCATGTCTTGACGTACTGCCGGACGGTTTTCGTAAGTTTCCGCCAGTAGTATTTGTCTTTGATCCGCGCCAGAGTACGCGCGAAGCCAAGATGCCCTGACGATGGCTCGTCGTGACAAGCACGCAAAATATCATCGCGGAGAGCAGCAGGAACGACGAGGAGGTAAACAGTTTTCGTTGAATGAAAGTTGCGCTTGTAGAGGATGCCTTGGCGTAGACAGAAAGATGACAAATCACGCACGAACTGACGTGGGGGTTGTGGGCGACGTCCCTCAAGGTATTCGATCAGTGGTTGTAATTCTAAGTCTTCGCGTTGCTGCTCAGCCACGTTTAATGATGCGAGAATAGCAAGGCAGCTGAAGTCTTCATCATTGTCTTCTTCAGTGACCTCGACGGGTGCGCGGGAAAGACAGTCAGCGTCGGTGTGTTTCTGACCAGACTTGTAAACCATCGTTATATCGAATTCTTGTAACCGAAGGCTCCATCTTGCGAGACGGCCCGAAGGATCTTTCAGATTCGCTAGCCAGCAGAGAGAGTGGTGGTCACTGACGATTCGGAAGGGGCGTCCGTACAAGTAGGGCCTGAATTTCGTTATGGCCCATACAACCGCCAGACATTCTTTTTCAGTCGTCGAGTAGTTCTTCTCCGCAGATGACAACGTGCGGCTAGCGTAGGCGATGACGCGTTCCACGCCATCTTGATATTGCACGAGAATAGCTCCGAGGCCAAGGTTGCTCGCGTCAGTGCGGACTTCTGTGTCTGCTTCGGTGTCGAAGTGACCTAGGATCGGTGGCGTTTGTAGGCGTTGTTGAAGGTCGCGGAAAGCGCCGGATTGTTTGGGGCCCCAGACGAAGGCGACGTCATCCTTGACGAGTTGTTGTAGAGGGTCGGCGATTTTCGAAAAGTTCGGCACGAAGCGGCGGTAATAAGCACAAAGTCCCAGAAAGCGGCGTACATCATGCTTTGTTTTCGGTATCGGGAACAAAGCAACTGCCATAGCCTTGTCAGGATCGGGGCGAACACCACTGCTGCTGACAATGTGGCCAAGGAATTTCAGTTCCTCATATCCAAAATAACACTTTTCCGGTTTCAGAGAGAGGCCAGCAGTGCGAATAGCCAGAAGAACCGCCTCAAGCCGCTCAATGTGCTGTTCAAAAGTCGTAGAAAAAACGACTACGTCGTCTAAATACACTAAACAAGAGTACCACTTCAAGCCACATAAAACTGTGTCCATCATTCGTTGGAACGTGGCTGGAGCGGAGCACAGGCCAAAAGGGAGAACTTTAAATTCATAGAGACCGTCTGGTGTAATAAACGCTGTTTTTTCTCGGTCCCGTTCATCTACTTCAATCTGCCAATATCCGCTACGGAGATCCATGGAAGAGAAGTAACGGGCGTGTCGCAGGCGATCCAAGGAGTCATCAATACGAGGAAGAGGATATACGTCTTTTTTCGTTATCTTGTTCAGTTTGCGGTAGTCGACGCAGAATCGTAATGAACCATCTTTCTTTTTAACCAGAACAACTGGTGACGCCCAAGGACTAGTCGATGGTTGAATTACGTCGTCGTCGAGCATTTGTTTCACTTGATGACGGATAGCATCTTGCTCCTTCTGCGACACGCGGTAAGCATGTTGGCGCACGGGTTGCACGTTGGGCTCAGTGATAATTCTGTGCTTCATTAGAGGAGTCTGCCGGACTTTCGAAGTAGTGGCAAAACAGTCACTAAAGGATGAGAGGAGACGGAGGAGCCTTGCCTTCTTAGGTTCTTCCAACTGGCGATTGACGTTAAGGCGACTTGTCACGTCAGTATCGCAGCTGTTCTCAGTCGATATCGTCGTAATCAAAGGAAAGGCGTCCAAATCATCCAATGCCTCCAAGTAAGCTATGGTTGTGCGTTTCGCAAAATGCCTGTGTTCGCCACCGAAGTTCGTAACTAAAACCGTAGTCTGGCCATTTCGCAATTGAACGAGACTTCGAGCAATGGCCACTTCCCGATCAAGCAATAACGTCAGGTTACTTTCGGCGATGCCCGTAATCGACTGCTCCCGTGGACACTCAACAAGCACGAAGATACTACTGCGAGGTGGCAACGTGACGCAATCATCGACTACGCGTAAGGCCACGCCACGATGTTCATTCTCGATGTCGGAATCTGGAGAAACACAGTTAGCAAAACTGACGAACAAATCACGCAGATTAATTATCGCTCCATACTCTTGCAGAAAATCCATGCCCAAAATGACCGGCCGAGAACAATTGGGCAGTACAAGGAATGATGCTACAAAAGCCGACGCACAAATCTCAAGCCTGGCGGTGCACCTTCCTATAGGGGATACGAGGTGTCCTCCAGCGGTGATTAGTTGAGGGCCGTCCCACGTTGTCAGCACCTTGTGTAGACGGGTGGCCAATGAAGCACTCATCACCGAGTAATCAGCTCCCGTGTCGACAAGCGCAGTCACCGGATAACAGTCGACGGAAACGGTAATGGCAGCGGACGTTCTGTTGGCGGTTTCACAAACAGGCTTTAACGGCACGTCGTAAGGCAGCGGCGGAGGGTATTTGTCGGTTCGCGTGACAGCGGCCTCACCTCCGGAGGTCGCCGTTTTCAGTTTCCCCGGCGTGGGCTTGCGCCACTGACACCAGGGGACCCAAAGGCGGGTCGGGCGCGGTGCGTTGATGTGGACGGACGGGGTGATGGTGACCGTGACTGTCGTCGTGGCGGGACAAGAGCGTGATGACTATCTTCAAAGTAATCCGCAATTTCTTTTGGGCGCTCACCATAGCGTGGACAACGCGCATCTGGGTGGAATCCGCGTAGGCCTATTCGTCGGTAGTAACAGTCGCGGTACATGTGTCCAACTTCGCCGCAATGGTAGCACAAAGGACGATTGTCGGGTGTACGCCAGACGGTGGACTTACGCGGGCCAGGACGAAAATCGGCCTTAGAATGCAGGCGATGGGCTGGACTTGAAAAAGCGTCTGGTGGTCCCAGTACGTTGATGAGCAAAATTTGCCGTCGACGGCGTAGAGGCGCGTAGGGTATCCGTGTAGGAAAGCGTGGGAGCTTCGACTTGCGATGGTGGTGAGAAGTGAACGAACTGCCTGATTTTGTTACGAACGACGTCCGTAAGAGCAGCGCTACTGGGAGGGGACGCTGCATGAAATTTCCGAAGTTCTTCGCGTACAACTTGCCGTATGAGTTCTGTGAGGACCTCCCTGTTATCACCTCCTGGTACAAGCGAGCACGCAGCGGACATGGCCGTCTGACGCTCATACTGCGACACCCGCTGCCGAAGCATGCGCTGCATAATTGTGGCCTCACGTATGAACTCGGACACAGTCGTAGGAGGGTTGCGCACAAGGCCCGCGAAAAGTTGCTCCTTTACGCCTCGCATTAGCAGGCGCACTTTCTTGTCTTCTGGCATGTGGGGGTCAGCCCGTCGAAATAATCGCGACATTTCTTCGACAAACATGGCGATGCTCTCGTTCGGCATTTGAAATCGCGAAGAAAGTGCCTGCTCCGCTCTCTCCGTTCGGGGTTACTGAACGCCTCGCGAAGCTGCCGATGGAATTCCTGCCAACTTGTGAATGAAGTTTCGTGGTTCTCATACCACACTCTTGCCGCGTCTAAGAGGGAGGTATACACGTTCTTCAACTTACGGCGATTGTCCCAGTCGTTGATGGCAGCGACCCGGTCGAAATGGTCAAGCCAGTCTTCGACATCCTCACTGGCATCACCATGGAATGGGTTGGGTGTGCGAGGCGTGTTGATGACACAGGGTACGCTAGCGAGTGGGTCATGCTCGGTTTGGATTGCGCATGTGGCAAACATTCTCCTCACAGAACTTGCCAAGGGGCCGTACTGTGGTGGTAGTCCTTGAAGGTGGCGGCTGCTTCGATAGATGTCAGCAGACCCTGGTGCACTGGCGGTGGTTGCTTCTGGTTCAGGACCAGCAGGCATAAGACGTTGCAGTACAGTACCCAGCACGTCCACCAGTCTGTCGCGAGAGGAAACGATAGGCAGGAACTCGAAGTGGAGGACTGTTTACTCAGCCACAGCTGCCATTCACTTCTTCGCTCTCGTCTTCTGCCACCAACACAGCGTGGCAATATAATATCGCTTCCGAGCACCTCAGTTCGGTAATGCGAAAAAGCGTACATAGTGTCTTGCGGTGAAGGAAAGTAAACTTCACCAAGTAGACAATGTGCCATTATTCCGCTTTCTTAGACGGCCCTTCCAGGGCACCACCATGGCTGTGTAAGTCATATGTACAGGGTCTAAAAGGCCTGGAGTGCATAGGGTTCCTTGGGTGCACTCCGACTTTCGGCAACTTCGTCCCAGGGATAGCCCTGGTCCCTCCACAAGTGCCATTTGCCTTCCGGGATCCGGAGACACTTGTAATATCAAAACTTCAAGCTCTCACTAGGCTTACGTTTTTTCAATTGCTTTATGATCACACTAGAAGGTTGTGTTCTATGCATCTTCGTCTATTTTTTTGTATTTTTCCCACTTAGGCTAGTTGAGCCATCTAGCCAACATCGACTTTTTCCGCCATTTTCAAATGCTAAATAATTTTTATATAATTGTGGGTGCACCTCACTAAACAACAACACAGTGTTTTTCTATAAACCAGAAACAGTAACTACGAGTTGAATATAAGACCCACCCGCCACGGTAGTTTTGAGGTTATTGTGCTCGGCTGGTGACTCAAAGGTCGCAGGGTCGAATCCTGGCCACGGCGGCCACATTTTGATGGAGGCCAAATGACAGAGGCCGATGTACTTAGATTTAGGCATTCGTTAATGAACACCAGGCGGTGAAAATTTTTCGAGTCCTCCGCTGCGGCATTACCCATAACCCTATCGTGATTTTGCGTCGTTGAACTTCAACAGTTATTATTATTAAATATAAGAACGAAGCTAGCTAATTACGACAGTCATGAGCGATGTGGCACAACTCGATTTTAGGAAGCTAGCCGAAAGCTTATATAACGGGGTCTTCCACATACTTCCGAAACTATACGCTTCATTCAAACTTCCAATTACCGAGAGACGGAATATATAGAGAGTCGTATCTTATTCCCAAATTTAATACACTCCAGCTAACTGGTACAGGCGTTTCCATGGGAGCTCTTGAATATATCCAATATAGCAGGTACACAACTACAACCAATCGTACCCATGTCTCTCGTAAAAATTTCGAACTGTTCTGATAGCGTAATTATCATGGTCAGTACTGCTCGCATGTGATGCATGTTTTGGTAAGACACCTTCATCACGAAACAACTACAGCCTGCAATATTTAACTACAAATATTCCAACCATCCTCACCCAGTGAAAAAATACAGCCACATTAAATAAAAACGCCTGTGCTATCTCTCTCTCATGACCGCCATCTGACAAATGACTCAGCGCAATAAAGAAGTGTCGCATCTGCAAACACCGAGTTAGCTATTCTGCATTTAAGCATAAAGAACTGTTTTTCAGCAGCTTAACCCTGAGGCAAACCACTTATTAACCAGCTTCCCGACAAATGCAAGCTACGAAGCGAATCTGGTTAGGTTCACGTACTTCCCGAATATGCAAAACACAACTCATCATTCGATATAATATGAAGGGTCGTTCAGCTGTCAGACAGAGCCTTATATCCGGCAAGTCGGACGCGTCACAAATGGCTTCTGCTACGGGGTGCTACAAAGTGTGTTTTCCGGTTCTCAATGATGCCTGTAATGGCACGGTCATTACTAAGTCACTGCGAAGTTCTCGGAGAGATACATAGATACAGTGAATGCTGTAGCTGAGAACCGAGGTACTGATGTATGCAAATTGAGGCGATAAATTCAGCTACAGGACCGGCTTCCTTAATCCATCGCAGCTATGTGGCATTGAATAAATAAAAACGCTCGAGCCAGCTCGTTTCGCCCACTGTATTTACCTATCGCGAAGTGGACTGTGTGCAGTGCGCTCTGCTTGGGGGGAGCTTAACACAATTTAAAAGTTTTGATAAACTTATATCTGTGTAGAAATTTTGGTAATGCCTTTCCATAGCTCGGTATAAGATGAAACCGCTTTATCTCGAATGTACTGAAAAAGCGATGGTAGAGAGATAGTGATATGAGTAACTCATCGGGTGCTGCTAGTTTTGACAACTACAATGTGTGCTACACTAAATCGATTTCAACCGCTGTTGTTTGTACTCAATGGCGCATTTACTTGTCTCACTCACTCACTAACTCACTCACTAACTCACTAACTAATGCACGCTCTCCACTTTGTTATGAGAGTTCTATTCATCGCCAGCCCATGTTTTTCAAATTCCGTAGCCCTCCTGCAAACACTACAGAAACGAGGAGGAAGAAATCTATTTTAACTAAGTAATGACGTCAAGACTAATATATATCTAGCGAGGACACGCACTGTATCAATGGAGCTCTGAAAGTCAAGTATATGTAACCAAACATCAAGATTGCTACGTGGCTTTCGTACAGCAGCACTCGCAGCGAAGCACGTGCAAGGAAAGGGGCTGGGAACCATCTCGTTAGATTAGGTGTGCCAGACACCAACGTACCGATTAATGGCAATTTTCACCCACCGTCCGCAAGGATACGCAATGATTTATCCTCCCTCGTTGCGCATCGATTACTTGTTTACGTACTCGGCGATCCTCGGGGGAATTGGCCAGAAGCTCAATGCGCTGTCATTGACACCGAATGCTTCTAGACTTCTGTACATTCTATACTGTTTTTTTACGCTGAAGTACGACGCAACCTGGCCATCAACTCATTGGCAAGACGTATAATTCTCTTTTAATGCTCGGAAACATTAATCACTCTTGGTAGGGAGTACAATGACCTAAGAAGGAAGACGCCGTGCCTTCATGCTAAATAAGGCAGTCCCGGAAAGTTATGCAAGCAGTGGGTGTCAAAAAAAAAGAAAAGAAAAAGGACCCAGTAATTGGTAGTTATAAAAAGAACACCTGCTAAATGCAGAACACATTACATTAATCTAACCTTCGATCGATGTCACTTCGTGGCAGGTTGTCGCTACTTAAAAGCCTCTATACACAAAAATCCATGTCGTAGTAATTACTCCAGTTCATAACGCTTTCGTGGGTACGTACGCTATTTACAAAATATAACGTGCGTACCGAAGAAGATAACGTATGACGAGTGCACGGTCGGCACATACGCTAACGCTAAACCAGGGTGTTGGCAAAACTTTTGGTACTCTATTCTGAAGCTGCCTAATCAGTGGCCAATATCGCATTTTAAGTTAAATGGCACAAACAAACCATGTTCCTGTAGTCTGTTGTACGGTGCCGTGGAAAGTAACATTTCAAGGAAACCGAACCACCCAACATCACAAGAGGTCAAAATTAGAGAATGAACAGGAACGTTAGCAGAGCTTCTGTCGGGACTAGTTGCAACACAATGGAAGAATTCAAGTGAGCATCAATGCATTATGTGTTCGCAGTGAACCATCTGCGGCAATGGTCAGCGCTGCCTCTGTGCTTCGTGTTGCCGGAACAGACACAGCAGTTCTCCGACGTGGCGGGCGCGCTGAGGCTTACGCATACCGATCCTTCGTCCTCCAACTGGCTCTTGAAGCCTGTCGGTGTGCAGGACAGGCGCAGGCATCGAGCCAGGCAGGTCTCTACAGCGGCGCTCACCGACTCAGACTCTCTCCATAAAACGTACGCATAAGTTCCGCTGAGTCCTGCTTAGGAGCGTACTATCTTGGCTAGTAGGTATCTATCAGCGAGGTTTAAAATTGACCTCCTTGGTATCTATTCATAGCTACGTGATTGCGTGCTGCTTGGAAAACGAGTACACAACTGCATAAACACAAACGCTTGCAATAAAGCTGAAGTTTGGCTCGGTTGGTAAACATAAACATAAACATGATTGCTAAACATAAACCAGTCAATATGGACGGCAGACAAGGGAGAGAAGTGACACACACAACCACTGGACTATAGGTGCTGTGCTTTATTGGCTAACACTATCTTCCAGGACAGCCAAGGCACGTACGCTGTACAAAAAAAAATCAGGGAGAGAGAGAGAGAGAGTGAAGAAAGTGGTTTACTTGAAATCCCAGGCTTTACCGCCAGAGTAAGAGCAACTTGCGTCCATTCTGCATTAACAAAGTGTATGTAGTGCTGACACAATCGTCACGGTGTATGTATGGTATGCTCGAAGAATTTCGCATTCGGACCTTGCCTCCCACATCTACCAAGCATCTTAACGTGAGACGATAGCAGAACACATCCACAGATACAGCAATCGCGGGGGAGATTAGCGCTGTCCGACGTGTTCAATGAATCGCGGTGCTCGCGCAGTCTTTCATTTAAACATCGATCAGTTTGGCCACTGCATATTTTTTTTCACAGGTTAGTGGGATGAGATACACCGCGCGTGTGGCACTGGTCATGTGTCTGTTTTCATGCCGATATTCTCGAAGCATATCTTATGAACATGAACCGTGACGATTGTGTCAGCACTACATCTATCTAACTGATGCAGAAGAAATGTGAGCTTGTGTAAGTCTGGCGGTAAAATCCGAGTTTTCAAGTAGCTCACTTTCTTTCTTTCTTTCTTTCTTTCTTTCTTTCTTTCTTTCTTTCTTTCTTTCTTTCTTTCTTTCTTTCTTTCTTTCTTTCTTTCTTTCTTTCTTTCTTTCTTTCTTTCTTTCTTTCTTTCTTTCGTTCTTTCTTTCTCTCTCTCTTTCTTTATTTCCTTCTTTCTTTCTTTGTTTCTTCCTTCCTTTCTTCCTTTCTTTGCTTTCTTTCTTTCTTTCCCTCTTTCTTTCTTGTTTGAACAGCGCATGCACCTTGACTCTTTTGGAGGGTGGTGTTAGCCAGTAGAACACAGTTGCTACTCTCTATAGTCGTTGTGTGTGTCGGTCCCCGCTCTTGCACGCCGTCTTCTTGACTGGTTTTTATGCTCTAGCTAACAAACGCTTGTGTTTGTGCAGTTCTGACCTTGTCTTCTAGGCGGTGCACAAAAAGTAGCATTGAACATATCTGTTCAGCAACCCGTACCTTTGCACCTACGTGTAGGCCAATATTCGAAACATTAATGCACAATCAATGAATCAATCAATCAATCAATCAATCAATCAATCACACAATGAGTGATATCGAGGCCGCACGTGAGGACAATGTTAGCTTGAACAGCACCTACACCGCCCACAGGTTCGAGGTAAACGCAGATTTCATTTGCGTGCAGGAACCGAACACAGGTCACTTCCTGTAAATGAGTCAACCATAAATGGACTCCATTTCCGAGTCATGTTAGACGCAGCTTCTGTGCCTACTTTTCTTGCAATGTTAAGCCTTGTTGCTGCCACTCCAGAAGTGACGTCGAATTATTTACATGCTGAATAAGGATAGAAAATTGGCTCAGATAGCTCACTGAGGAAGAGTAGACCCGGTCTCGTGTCGTCTGGTCCCCTCTTCGCTCGTTAGCGCTGTGAAACATGGACTTATGTCTGTGCTTTTGGTCATAATGCAGAGTTACAAGCATGCTCATGCATGCTATACGCTAAACACGGTGCGAAATAACTTGTGGTAGGTGTTTTAAACATAACTATCGCTGCCATGCGTCGTAATAACCTACCTATATCCACACCCGGATAGGCTTTGTATTCAACTCCCCTTTCAGTGCGTCGTGCACATAGATCCTATCCATATTCCGTCTGCAAACTCCCCAGTCCAGTCACAGCAGCCAACATGGGGCGTGCGCAGAGTTCTCCTAAAAATAAAAAGAAAGGGGGGAGGAGGCTACGGGGAGTGAAGGTTCGTCGCAGCGCGCCTCCCTATTACGTCAATGCACGAGGCTGATGCCAACCATTCACCACAATAAATCGTACTCACATTCACCGGGCCGTTTGCTGAATCCAGGCTCTCGCCGATGCTCGAGCAAGGCCGAGTGGTGGCGCAGGAGACCCTGGTACGGCCACTGCTGGCGTCAAACGGCCGTTCGGTCCTGGTGAGAGTCTTCGCCCTGGTCACATCGCTGGTGCCCCTGCGTGCATACGTTCACCACGCGGGAACCGCCTTCCAAGGAACTGCGCAAGGACCACGGAGAAGTGACAATAAGGTGATGCCACAAATTTCGGCACACGCACATCTGTGAATCAGCGTATATAGGAAGCCGGCACCACGCATCATGTTGTTGCTAACTGCTCTGCAAGAGCGAAGTTGGGGCTGATGCAAAGTATAAAATCCCCATACTTTAGTTCACCAGCGGGCATTGCGCGCATTTAGAAAAGCAGGCGTTTGAAGCGCTACAATGGCATGGCAGTAAATCTTGAAAGATTAAATCACGTTGCGAAAGTAGCAGTACCCTTCATTTCCATCGAAGTGCTACCATGATACGTTAGAAGACAACAGTTAACCAGCTTCAGAATAAAACGCCGGGATCACTATCAACTCTAACCATGCATACGGAAATCTTGAAACACCCGACTAGCTCAGCATCGCTAAATTTAGTCATGCGCTACTTTATTTTTTACATCACGTAGTCTCCCAAGTCAGCATTGGATTACGGCCTATTACTCAGAAAAAAGTTTTTCCGCGAGGGATAAAATCAGAGTGGTTTCCGGTTTCTGGCAACGACTTCACTCAGTTTTTCTCTTTTTCTTTGCTGGCGTAAGCAATGGGTTGAAAACGGGCAGAGTGAGACCATAAAACGCCACTCTCCCATCGTCTTCTCGTGACCGCTGCAGCAAAACTTGCGTCGCCCTAATTACAGGGATGGTTAGTTAGCCGTATCAACTTCCCTCATCTCCTCTTATAAATCAGGGCCTTAATGGTTCATTTCGCGGCCGCATTAGAAACGCGAAGACGCTGCGCGCCGTTCACGTTCTTCCCCGAAAGCCCCTCGTCGTCCTCCCAAACCCTTCTTACGTTTCCACTTTTATTTTTTCCTTCCTTCTCTCTTGACCGAAACTGCCCGACCATCGCCTAACTAGACATGCGTATAGTGTTCCGTACAAATACCCGCAAGCGCACGAGACTCTTAATAAGGCTCGCGAGGTCTTTGCCACGGCTCGCGCAGGCCAGTCACGTTCGGCGCAAGAGCCGCACCGTTTGGGCCGGCCCTCTTGCGATGAAAGTTGCAACGGCGAAACGGTCATGTACTGGCGCGGCAATGTCCTTTCGCTGGTAAGCCGTTTCGCCGCGAACCCGTACGCGAACATACGTATATGCAAACATGCCGAACGTCCTTGTGTTGGCCACGATGCGTACGTCCTATCATAGTTCTCAATGTAGCCGAGTATACAATTTGCTATAAGTGCGGTTTATGTGCATAACTTCACTAGGCGTGGTAAGGTGTCACTTTGTTGTTTTCTGAGTGTCTTGATTCCCTCTCGAGGCTCATCCAATAAGAGCAGAAGCATGACTGCAGACTGTGACGCATGCTTGACCTTTTCTTCAGCCAGGTTGCCTTTTCGTAGCGCAATGTCCAGCAGATGCAGAATCAGTCTTCTCGAACGATCGATGTTGAAGGTCTTCATTGTTTGCAGCACTGTCACAAAACTATCCACCCCGACGTTATCGCCGGCGAGCCATCCAAGTATGCTGCCGTGTGGCTCGGCCCTGATTAATTAACGTCGTGAAATATCATTCAATATCTTCGCCCATTTTACCAAATGGTGCCATCTGTCCCCTTTACAAAGTAGGGAAGGCGCTAAAGTTATTCAGAGCCCTCTGAAGGTTTCTTTCTTCGAATAATTTCGATAGAAAACGTTCGACACAACCTCTCTTTCTTTTTTTCTTCTTCTTCTTCTTCAGGGCTTCCTATACGCATAAGCAAGCAGATAGGCGGCTCTGACACTCGAAACCTGTAGCGGGTGACGGCTATATAGCTCAGTTGACTACCTAAAACTTCGAAACACTCACGCTGACCGTTGAGAGGGGCCCGGCCCCCATTACACGTTTACTACTACGGTTGTCACTATTGGCGCCGTGTTGAGCGTGTTACTCCCAACGTGAACTGAGACGGAAGAGAACAATGTATTTCAACACAAAAACATATTGTGTCGGGGTTCAACACGGCTCCGCTGACGTATTTTTGTTACGGTTATGACGTTGTAAAATATTCGCAAAGAAAATATTGCCCAAGAGAACATATTAGCAAATAAATTATTCACAAAGAAAAAAAAAAGTTTTGTCCCGGGGCATCGGATCAGTGACCTCTCACTCCGCAGGGGGCGGCGCAAACCACTAGGTCACAAAATGCACGTTGTAAGGAATGCTAACGGCAAGCAATTTATATATACAGCATATCGTTTAGCGGTCCTCAGAGCTTCGCAACTTTAGCGCGTTTCCGCCATAAGTAGCGAGATGGCGTGACGAGCTTGCGTTGAGCACGCTCTGAAGGTCGTCGCCTTCTTTCTCCATGCCTCTCGCGTTTCGATGAGCGCCGCCTCGACGGAGCATGATCTCTCCTGCGCGCGTGCACTTACCCGTGACTCAGAAGAGCACAAAGACACGAAGGTCACTCCACTCACTGCCGCGGCCGCGTTGACGAAAGGAGCACACTGCTCACAAACAAAGCAAGGTTTGTGACTGCTCTTCGCGCTTGTCCTGCGTATACTTGTGTGTTTGTTTCGTGCGCCTTTTTTGAGGGGCGAAGCTCCTTATAGCGGCACCCGTTCGTCTCCCGTAGGATGTAACAAGTATAACATTTTGACCTCAAAGGTGGTGCCGGTGAGAGACTTCTGTGCGTTGTTAAACAATAAAACTAGTGCTCAATGTACATGTCAATGGCTGCTCATGGGTAATGAGAGACAGGAGCATTCGGCTATTAGTTAACGCGCAGGCTGCGACCACCATTAGCAGCCATTGGCATGTACATTGAGCACTAGCTGACAAGAAAGGGTTGCTACGTTATACTCGCTGGGTGTAACCTCCTTAGCTTTAGAAAGGTTTAGCGAGCGTTGAGCCGCAGTGCCATCAATACAATGAACTTGTATATACCATGAATGAACTCCAGGTGGTTAAAAATGGGAAGTAGATACGAAGCGCAAGCCGTAAGAAAGTAAAAGCCGAATTCTCCGCCTCTCATTTCCCATTAGCAGCCATTGGCATGTACATTGAGCACTATCTGACTGAAAAAGTTTGCTACGTCGTACTCGCTGGGCGTAACCTCCTTGGTTTTCGAAAGGTTTAGCGAGCGTTCGGCCGCAGTGCCACGAATACAGTGAACTAGAATATACCATGAACTCGAGGTGGTTAAAGGTGGGAATTGGACCCGAAGCGCAAGCCGTAAGAAAGTGTGCGTGTGCCACCTCTCGTTTAGTCCTTGGAATGTCCGCTGGATGGCGGTGCTTCTATATGGGGAATATATGATGAAAATATGCGAGATGGTGGTAATTTGAGTGTTGAGTAGATGGACGAACGGACACATAGACAGATGCATGGATGGACGCATGAACGGACGCAGGGGCGGCTGCATGGACGAACGCAGGGACGGACGCACGAACAGACGCACGCACACAAGCTGTGACAGTTTTTAGTCAGCGCTCGTCCTGTGTATGCTCATTTCATACGTGCTTTCTGCTTGAGGTGCGCGGTGCAAATTTCGAGCTGCTTGCAGTTCTTCGTGCGACTTTGCAATTCGTTGCTGTAGCATTGATTGATTTGCCCCGTTGTAGCGAAACAACGCACAATAAACAATCAACTAACTCTGCAAAGAAACGTTTCACTTTCGTGTTATACCAAATCCTAGAAAGAGGAATCAGCCACGTTTTTTACACAAAATCTGTTTAATTCTACCCTGTGCCGTTGTCGTCGTCGTCGTCATAGTAGTAGTAGTAGTAGTAGTAGTAGTAGTAGTAGTAGTAGTAGTAGTAGTAGTAGTAGTAGTAGTAGTAGTTTTGGTCGTCATGCAGGTCACGGGACCAAGGGGGGGGGGGGAGTGAATAAGGAAATTCGAAATTTCTGGGCGTGTGTTTTCAATGTGACCTTAGTTGGTCCGAGCATGTGGATAACCTTCGATTAAAGATATCAAGGTCTATCGGTTCAATTCGACGATTGCAGTACCTACTTCCAGGGAGAGTGAAGCGGCAGTTGTAAGTTTCTTTTATCCACTCGCAAATCATGCATTGTATTCTAGTCTGGGGTACGTATAACAAAAAAAAACAATGAAAATATTATTATTCTCCAAAAACGTGCACTACATCTGCTAAACAACTCGGTCTCCACAAATACGTCCCTTGTTCGTGTGCACAACGTTATACCATTTCCAGAGTGCTACAAGGTACAACTAGCCATGTTAATCTATAAAAAAATGAAGAACAACTTTCAGAGTTTTTTTGATACATACTTAAGTGGAGATCTTGCATACAATCTACGTACTGCTGCGTTGGTATGGCCGATGTGTTGGACTAACTATGGTATACAGCCAATTTATAACCAAACTGTTTTACTGTCCCACAGGATTCCTGAAGTCAGAATACGCTAGGGAGACGAAAAAACATTTACAAAAATTAAGAAGCAAATTACGAAATTAATTATCCAAACCCACTTTTAGGGTGCGTGTGCTGATGATTGGTAATGTATGAAATATATTTGTTGTAATCATTGTTTTTTATCATTGTTTTCTATTCCACACAAATTGTACCTATTTCAATATATATTAGTAGGGCTGATAACGTCTTTGTATTCATCGCTAAGGAACAGCTTTATTTGAATATCTAACCAATATTTTCTGCACTTAATGTTCATCATTCTTTAATAATTTGTATGTATAATCTTTAATTTCCTATGTACTGTTTTGCAGTACTTGCCCGAGGTGCCTCACGAAGAGTGGGCCTAGTCAGGAGACGCTCTCTCCTTTTGCCCCCTTCATTGGCTTTTTGTGAAGAATGCCCAAATAAATAAATAAATAAATAAATAAATAAATAAATAAATAAATAAATAAATAAATAAATAAATAAATAAATAAATAAATAAATTAAAAAATAAAAATTATTATTATTATATTATTATTATTATTATTATTATTATTATATTATTATTATTATTATTATTATTATTATTATTATTACTATTATTATTATTATTATTATTATATCGTCATGCTCGATCACATATAAACGCGAGCTTAGAGCTTTGCTGTCCGTTGGTGTTTCACGGCGTAGAACTGGCTGCAATTTTTTTTTGTTTTCCTGCGTGGCTCTTTCAGATTCGGATGAGCGGGAACTCTGTGCCCCTGAAACAGCTGTGGCATCAACTGGGCAAAATATACGGAAGTTCGAGCGTGGAAGAGGTGTGGTCACAGATAAAAAGCCAGGTCGCTGCCCTGCTGCTAGCTGCCGAGTACGAAATCCTCTCGAGGAGTGTCACGATGAACAGTAGCCGCAACCTTGGAGGCACGATGGGGTGAGTGAGTGGTATTCAGTACTTATTAGACAGATTTATACAGGCCGTCCACAGCAGCAGTATGGACGCAGACTGCTAACCACTTGCAATGGCAGGCCGCGTCCGTAAGGCGGCTATGGACGCGCAACTAAATCTGTCTAATACCTGTATTCACATGGACGATGGGCACTCCAATGTTCACGTTAGCCTACGTAAAGTCGCATTACTAGTTGATTGATTGATATGTGGGGCTTAACGGCCCAAAACCACCATAAGATTATGACAGACGCCGTAGTGGAGGGCTCCGGAAATATCGACCACCTGGGGTTCTTTGACGTGCACCCAAATCTGAGCACCCGGGTACGACATTTCCGCCTTCATCGGAAATGCAGCCGTCGCAGCCGGGATTCACGGGCACACGGGAGTGGTTTTCCTACATGATTTATTTCATTACAATAATGTCGTTATATGAGCAATGCGTGCGTGGGGGCGTGTCCAACCTCTTTTTATGTAAACTTTATTGGATCTAGCAGTCACAGGGTATACGAGATGGCAGTACTTTGAGTGTTCTCTAGATGGATGCACGGATGGACGCATGGACGAACAGACAGACAGACTGGCAGACAGACGGACAGGTAGACGGACGCGTAAAGCGGCTATGTGCCACAGGGTATGCGAGATGGCGGTACTTTGAGTGTTCTCTAGATGGACGCACGGACGGACAGACAGACCGACCACCTGGGATTCTTTGACGTGCACCCAAATCTGAGCACCCGGGCCTACGACATTTCCGCCTCCATCGGAAATACAGCCGTCGCAGCCGGGATTCGGTCCCGCGACCTGCGGGTCAGCAGCCGAGTATCTTAGCCACCAGACCACCGCGGTGGGGCTCGCATTACTAGTGAACATAGTGATAGAAGGTTTTTCATATGCGGCCGCTCTTTCTAAAAAGTGCGACACGTCGGATACCAAAGCAAGAAGTCTGACCAGGCTAGTCGCTATTTTACGATCGCATAAACAGGCGTGGAAGGGACACAAAAACAAAAGACTGACGAGGACTGACTTTGAAGCTGCTGCTACGCAAGAGATAACTGTATTAAGAAGCCTTCTATGGCTTTGACTGACAAAGAACTTGATGACCTGTACAACCTACACGTGTTACCTCGTCCTATAATTCCACTTGATCTTATGCCGTTTTTTTGGTCCGACTGCATGACTTCACGCACGGAATTTAGGTGTGATCACTTGTGTGATACCTTGGTTTTTTTGTGTGAGTGCGTACCTTCCCCGTTGTCCGTGCAACTTAGGCGTTAGAACACAGCGGTGATCTGTCAGACTTTCAGATGAATTTCCTTTATATAACCACCAATACTTACGATTGGAACACTGTTTACTGGGTCAGTCTCGTGGTGTGAGTAGTCTTGATGATCTTCTTCGCCTTGCATCCCAATTACGAAGGTTCATATACTGACGTTTTCATAAGATATAACGCATATAATGTTTAAAAGTGCTACTAGGCCTGGTTGATGTGGCATACAGAAGTGCAAAAACGCATTGCATAGATGCGCAGACACGAAGGGCACAAAAACTCTTGTGCTTTTTTGGGGCCGCAAAGCCCTAGGTATTATTATTATATTATATTATTATTATTATATTATATTATTATTATTATTATTATTATTATTATTATTATTATTATTATTATTATTATTATTATTATTATTATATTATTATTATTATTATTATTATTATTATTATTATTATGTTATTATTATTATTATTATTATTATTATTATTATTATTATTATTATTATTATTATTATTATTATTATTATTATTATTATTATTAAAAACCCTTGCGTCATTGTCCTTCTCTGTCTTGTGTTCCCTTAAGAATGTTAACATTTCTATATACACAGCTCTTCTACGTTGCAGGAGACCGACCGGCTTCCAGCTTCTCAGTTTCGAGTTTGCCCTGAACTCCACTCTCCAGCCGTTTCTGTGGCACGTCAACGTGAAGCCGCACTTTCTGGCTTCGCGAAGCGTCTCCATGGACGCCGCCAAGTCTCAGATCATCGCCGACATGGCCCGAATCCTGGTGGCTGCCCATCAAGTGGCACCGCAAGTGGCGCAGGCGTTGCGGGAATCTGACACCAGCATTGGCCTCATGGTATTGTTTTTGACTAAGTATTCAATCAGAGGCGCAGCAGCATGACGTTACAAAAAACGGAGAAGACACACGAAAGAATGATTCTTGTATTCTTGTTAGGTTTGTGCTGCTAAAACACTGAACTATGTATCGTAAACTAGCCCGCCAAAATACTTTGCTCAAAACATCCAAACTGTATACATGTTCTTCATCTACCCACACAACTATTCAACAATTTTCAGCAAGCGACTTTGGGTGTTGTGTGTGTTATGTGAATGTTCTTGTTTTAAAAAAAATCGCTTGAATAAACAACCTTGTATTAAAAGAGGGAGAGGGGGTATCCTCGAAGAAAACATACAAAAAAAGTATTGCGCAGCGCACTGTTTCCCAGGTGCTGGGCACCACAGTCGCACTGCGCTAGGGAATGACGGTAGTAGAAAAGACAAGACAAAGCAATGAGAAAGAAAGAGATAGAGTTTAGCCAGATACGATCATCCAAAAGCGAGATTTCAAGTTCTGCACAATGCTTATATTACATGTCAAAGCAAGAAACAACGTCTCACAGCTGCGAGCTCAGGTCCTGCTGAGGTAAACTTCTTAAAAGATGTAGGAGAGATTTTACACAAAGGGTATGGCCTTCATTTTCTACTGTATAGAAGGACTGAAAGGTGGGTCAGTTGGTGACAGCACTTGAACATATTTTAACATATCGTACGACTGCGCGATTTGTCTCTTCTACTCTTGTGTCCGCGTAGTCGTGTGCTGTGTTAAAATATGTTCAAGTTTTTTACCGTGTTAGACACCTTAGAAGTGGCATGCCAATAAACAGAAGTTACTGATATTCTTAAAGCGCATACCAAAACCAAACTCCAAAGCTTGACTTAGTCTACCCCGGATCTATACTCACAAGGGTGACTGTGGTAACCTGATTGCATGAGAACTCCTTCATCATTTCTTTCCAGTGTCACTTCTGCCACCTTTCACATGACATCTGCCTCACGAAGAACGACTTGAGCTACCTTCTCCAGTCTCGGAGAGAACACATGTCCAGAGGAATGTTCGAGCAGGTGATGCATGAACCAAGAATATTCTGATCCCCGTTTCAGCATATTCGCGAGTAACTGTTTAGTTTTTGACACGTTCGCAACGTCTTTCAGACAAAGCAGTGTTTCTACAAACGCTTCAGTCGACTAGTCCTTCGTTCATGTAACGCTGTGATTGAGAATTTATGCCTCTATCCTATGCATATTGACAGTAGTTCAGGAGAAGATGGAGGCTTCAAGTGATGAATACTTTTGAACAGAGGACATCGCTGGAGCTAACGGTTCAACAAGTGGGTCTTCGATTGTTGCTTTGAAGTAGAAAACGCCACTCGTTCAAACGCAAACTCCAGCGACATCTTTTGTTTAAGAGTATACACATGCATATTGACATTATTTATTTATAGATTCAAATGATATATCATTGGCTCTATGTGGAACCTGGTACTAGTCCTCTAGAGCAAAAATCTCGTCCTAAAGCTTCCAGCTATACGATTTCATAGGCTATGTTGACTGTGGGTTAAGAATATCTGAGCTTGTTCAAACAAATAAGCAACGAAGTTTAAAGCTTCCACGGTCTGAATGCCTGGCAAGTGGTTATGTACATACACAAGAGAACTACAATTGGAAATGGGATGACTTCAGTTAGGAGGCCATCAGTTAGGTTGAGTTATCGAGGGTAACGCAGCTGAACACTGATTCCTAACCGTTCAAGTTAAGGTTTAGAGTGTTAGCCAACCATCACTTATTGTGAACATTTGCGATGGTTCACTTCTTTCTCTTTATGGATAGTTACACCTGGTGTCACATACAGAATTAGCTAGATAACGTTGTCTGATCCCAGTTTTTCTTTTCCATTTATTGACCATCAGTTGTACGACCGACAAGATCTATCCATCAAAGACGGACACAGAACTGAGTGATCTCCTCTCTTCCCTTGACCACAAGATTCAGAAGCAAGTTTTGTCGACGGCAGGAGCGCAACACTCCCCCGTGTAAGTGCCAAACTGATAGCTAAATCGTAGTGACACATGTTTCAAGTTGTGTTTACAAACATACGGTAATCTTCAACACAATATTATTCATACTGACTTTAAGGCAGTTGATTACCTGAAAGAGAAATTAAAGCTGTTTCAGACTTTTTCGGGTAATCTCGTTTGCATTTCAGTTAGTGGAAGTTCACGTTTCCTTGTAACATGCCGGCTATGTCTGGGCGTGAGAGCTATTTTGCTACAAGATAAAATGTTACTCTTTTGATCTTGCTAACAACTCCTTTGCATAACCTTCACGTGTCGTTGGGGAACTTTCGCTTGTATAAATGGCCCACAAGAAATGAGACATGCACTACTAATGAGTGTTGGGAGAAGTTCTGGGAGTACTTAAGCGGGCCTGGTAAGAGGCTGTTCATTCATAAGAAGAAAATGAAGGAATCGCGGGCACGGAACATTTAATGCGGTGTTAGAAGTTACAGGAGTGATAATAATAGTTATTATCTTTTTGTGAAATTCTCGTACATCGGCAGATTCGATGTGAGCAAACAGCACCAGACGGCACAAATGCACAGGCTGCTTATCGATGTGGAAGCACTTCTACTCCAGAATGGACAACGAGGGAAGTAAGAGCAGGTAAGGACAAAGATTTTAGCAGCTCGAGTAATGACACGTAAGCTTTAAACATCCCTAGCTTTAAGTTGATTTTTATGGCCCTGTCACACGTTCAAATAATCCCTCAATATCACCGCTGATACACATTCACTATTTTTAATGGACCTCGACGAGTTTGGATAATCTGATTGAGCTATCAAATAATGAAACATTTTTTTTTAAACTCTGGATTCCTTTGCTGCTGCGATGCTATATACAAGACTTCGCTTGGGCATGTTTTCTGGCTGTATTACTCTATACAGTCACTCGAACGTCTCGCATGACGTGAGGGCTATATTTTATTCCGAAGAGAAAACTTCGAAAAAAACCTATTGCAGCGTGAAATCGCGCATCCTTCCAGGGTTTGGAGCATTCATTGCCACCAAGTGCAACTTTATCATTAAAGGTACTTATGCAATAGCAATAAAGATACCGCTACTGTGAAAAAGTGCTTTTTTTCAGCCTTGTTTGAGCCCATCGGGCAAAATGTACTATAATAATTCTAATTTTGCTTTAAGGAACGACCAGATGAACAGCGAAAGACAAAAAAAGGGTACGCAGCGTTTTTTTTTTTTTTCAAAGAAGGGAATGATGTTTAAACCCGCTCTGACTGACACGCTTTTTTTCAGAACAGGAACTACGTGAGATGATGAATCGTAACATCGTGTACGAGGAAGAAGAAATAGATTGTTTGCAGGGTAAATATGGCTCTTTTCATGTTTCAAATATTTTCTGATTGCGCTGAAAGATTGACTAAAATATGTGGTGATAGCCTTGTATATGCCTGATTGATTGATTTATTTGTGGGGTTTAACGTTCAAAAACCACCATATGATTATGAGAGACGCCATAGTGGAGGGCTCCAGAAATTTCGACCACCTGGGGTTCTTTGACGTGCACCAAAATCTGAGGCCGCGGGCCTACAATATTTCCACCTCCATCGGAAATGCAGCCACCGCAGCCGGGATTCGATCCCGCGATCTGCGGGTCGGCAGCCGAGTACCTTAGCCACTATACCACCGCGGCGTGGCTTGTATATGCCTGAACACATATTTAGGTTGCGCGAAGAAACGCGGACGAAGGGGAGTACACAGGGCAGGTGCAAGCTTCAACTGTGGAACGTGAGGCCAAAGCGGCTCAATATAAATAGACGTCTGCCTGACTCGTGCCTATACATCATGACAAGCCTTTGCCGATCATTGTTAGTTGTCATATCACTATCTACTGCTTGTTTGGCGTTTTCACTGTGTTTTTTTTCATACATGCGGTATCTTTCTTCATTTTTTTGTCGTGATGTATAAGCACGTGTCAAGCAGATGTCTATTCACATTGAGCCGCTTTGGCCTTCCGTTTTACAATTGAAGCTTGCGCATGCCTCCCCTTCGTCCGTGTTTCTTCGCGCAACCTATTGATTGATTGATCTGTGGGGTTTAACGTCCCAAAACCACCATATGATTATGAGAGACGCCGTAGTGGAGGGCTCCGGAAATTTTGACCACCTGGGGTTCTTTAACGTGCACCCAAATCTGAGTACATGGGCCTACAACATTTCCGCCTCCATCCTTCGCGCAACCTAAATATGTGTTCTAGAATGCACCAACTAGCCAAGACGAAAGCTTTCCTGTATATGCCACCTGGTATTAATTCGATAATTTGAAGTATTGTTCGAGATCGATAGTGATTCCAACGTTTCAGCAATGTTTTGGCGAGTACTTGCTCTCTTTAGTATTGTTCAAGGATTCAGAATACTTGCGGACTGACCGAACCAAGTTTGAGGCATCAACATGCGCTGTACTCTAGCTTACTTCACGATAACAGAAGGAATCTTTACAGCACGTTCCAACTTACTACCTACTATATACATTCATGAATGGTGAATACGTATTGATATACAACTGACACGTAACTTGAAATATGCAAATAAGGAAATGAACGAGGGTATACAAGGTACTCGTACAATACACAGTACAGAATAACAGTACTACTCCACTGCACAAAGTATGCAACGGTTCCATTCGGATTGTCTTGGAGACGTCTGTGCGAAATATGGCGGAGAGATGACGGCTTATGGACGATCGTAGGCCATTGTCAAAGGCCCTGCACAATCAGGCACATATTACAAGCACAAAAAAAAAGAAACGAGTACAAATCGAATCACAGTAAATAGACGGGTGCTGCAACATTCACTTGAAGGGTTAGTAAACCACCCCGAGGTATTAAAATTGTTATAAACAGAAATATATGCACTTTATCTTTTTGAAAATGCTGCCGCAAGAATTTTGCGAGTACATGCTATATTAAGGAAGTTATATGGGTTAGAACATCGGTTTGAGTTGGTTTCAAATTTTCGCGCGGCATCGCCAACCTTCTCCTCCGATAGGGAGGGGAAGGCGTAGCACGTCGTCTAGACTGGTTCAGACCAATCGACGAGCTGCGTGCTACGTCAAGTTGCCGATCGCCCACTTTGCGTCACTGCACGTGAAAGGAGGATTGCTCAGGCGTAGGAAAAGAAGGCGACAACTGTTTTTCGAAATGGAGGTAGCGCTGTAACACTCTGAAAACGTGATCGCCGCAGTCCAGTCTACGAATTGTCAAGCTTCTTTGTGGTCGTGTAAGAAAAAGTCGGAACCTTTTGGCTGGCCTTTTAGACGGAGACAGCCGGCAAAAAAAAAAAAAAAATCACAGGGTGCCTCATGAATTCAGATAACATTAAGATGACTGGATTGCGAAATCCACCTCATTTTTCTTCTCAGCTGGTGTACTGATTCTCAGCTGCCACGCATCTAAGGCTTTGTCCTTAAAAGTGTTTTATGGGAAATTTCGCCAGCCAAACATTCACTCACCCACACCTTAACTTCTGGTTTATCCACAGACCCGACATCACTGCCGTACTTACGCCTGCTTCGCGTGAACCCGGAGCAGCCTTTGTCGCCCACCTTCCACCCGAACAAGACGGAGTACCACATAGACGTGCCTTACGAGCAGATGACCGTGGAAGTCCGAGCCAGAGCCCTCTACTGTCACGCGGAGGCTCGACTCGATGACAGACTCGGGCCAGCAAGGTATTCATTTTAAATTGTTTAAAGTCGCCTAACTACAAGGTAAATTATGTAATTATGTATTATTATAGTTAATCTTGCAAGTAGATGGAGGCACCTCGATCGTAGGAGCGTCGAATTTACCTCAACACGTATATGTAGATGCACGTACAACACAAAAAGGAACACTCCAGCAAGACCAATGCGTTAAATTACTGAAGAGCGGCAATAGCGAACGAGGTGGGACCTGTTGATACAGCATAAAGAAAGTAAAAAATGAAACCAGCGCTTACGAGACGAGGACATGTCTGTCACTCTTTCTTGTCCTCGACTCTTAAGCGCTGTTTTTTTTTCCCCTTTCGCTACTGAAGAACTCCCTCAAGTTTGCAGCCCAACATGCAGACTACAAGTAAACACACAGAAAGGTCGCCAGCCGGCGCAGCCTAGTTTAATGAAAGAACTGCAGACGAAAAAAAAAAAGAAGAAAGAAGATCACTGAACAACCACCGTAATAAAAGACACACCGTAACAGTATAACAGAAGATCATTTGTTTGTATAACCTGAACCAAACAGCTCACGTGACCTGTTCGGCTAGTTAAAAAGTCTATATATACTACCTAATCAGGTATGTTCTTTTCTCCGCACGCTGTCATCCCACTTTATCCACTGAACTGCACATGTTTCAGTGTTCCCACCAGATAACTAGCGACCGCGTTACCAAACGAGGTACTAGGCACTTGAATGAGAAGCAAGACGTCAATGTATCCGCCTGGTAAAGCGTACATTAGGATGCCGGGAGGAGGAAGAGGAAGTAGAAGGAGGAAAGGCAGGAAGGTAAACCAGACGAGCGTCTGGTTTGCTATTCTACACTTTCTCTTTTCATCTCTCAATTAAGATGTCAGAGTTGTCGATTATGTCAGCAGCTGCAGAAATTCCAAATTTCACTCACGGGATGTTATTCACACTTTTATTTTTTATTTTGTAAGAAGTGGAAGAAAGAACGATCGTTTGTTCTAGATAACTTTGTTGTCTACAAGATGGAGACGTGCATTGACAACGAATTTATTTCTGCTATAAGTTAACCTGGTGTTCCTATATGTGAAGAGGAGAGAAATAAGCGGAACGACAGGGAGGTTAGCCAGTTCTTAGAGTGGCTGGCCACTCAGTACTGGGGAAGGGGGTAAGAGAATAAAAGATTATAAAAAAGAGACGTTTCAAAGACAGACAGACAGAGAAGACAAACGATAGCGAAAGAGGAAAGCAAAATTAACGATAATACGACACTAAAGTCTGTTTCTAAGGCCAGTTGTCAGCAAGAAACGTAATAAAGCTTTCAGAACCTTCCGGGTTGGGCATGGACTCAGCCAATGACCCAGAGTGACTGAATGTGACTTGTCTAACTCACGATGCTCCTCTCCACAGGCCGGTCAATTACACGCTGGGCCTCGGTTACAACAGGGTCTGCGTGGTGGTGGTGGACATCAGGCACGCCGAAGCCCGTGTCGCTAACGCGTACGTGTTGAGTGTCTTTAGACGCGAGCGCACCACGAGAAACGAAGAAGTTCAACCGCCCTTGGCCGGCCACTACGCCGTTTGCAGCCTCAAGCAGGTGAGGTACGAAGACGCACGTTTTAATTACTTATTCACCTTTTCATAAATGCCTCCCTGGGCGCCGCCATAGCCCTCCTTGGACAGTGCAAATTGGCGCGTCCCCTCGAAAATGCACTGGCAACGCTGCGCCCTTAGCCTTTGTACTCCCGCGCACAGCCCATCATGGCGGTGTTTTTTTTTCCTTCCTGTGAAAAGGTGTATATATGCCATATTACTTCAATCTATCTATGGACAAAGAGACACGCGCTAAGGAAATTAATAAATTGACAAACAGTGCACGTTGGAAGTTTGCAATTAATACACATAAAAGAGTGACAACGGACAGTGAAGGTGGGGACACAAGCACGTAATAACTGAATGTTTACTACGGCGAAAACAAACTTAATGTCAACTGTAGGACACCCGTCTCTGATAAAAATTCTAAGCAACCGTTTCAGCTAATATCATTATCACCAATATACCAGCCATTGCAATGATTGCACTAGAAGAGTACGTTCAGAGGGCTCCACCATTAAAACTAGACACGGGTCTCTGCTGTCGTTCGATAGTTTCACACAGATTGGAAGCTGGTCACTATTAAAGACGGCTTCCCAAATGCGCACTTAAAAGTTTCAGCTTCTGCTTTCTTCATGAATGTAGATCTATATACGCACACGCACATGCGCACGCACCTCACACGCACAAACAGAGCATAATCAGCAGCAGTTACATACAGTTAAATACATTTGAATGCATGCAATAGCAGTTCAAGACAACTGAACGAAACTAAGAAAAGTGACTGACATGCACTTATATAAAACTTCTTGCAAGCAACACGTTAATGTGACGGATAACCCCCTATATAATGCCAATTTTCAAGTCGTTGGTGCATAAAACACATAATGCAACCAATCTTGAAAGTGCTATGTGCAATGCTATTAAATATGGTTATATGAAAGCCAGTAAACTCTCGCAAACTTGACGAGAAATGATTAATACCTCATCACTCCTGTTTGGCGTATTTTCGCAACGTAACACTTGTTGCACATTTCGCAACTGATTTCAGAGTTGCGAGCTCGTGATCTATCCGAAAGAACCGTGCGGGCTGCATCTGGAGGACGCTGAAGAATCGTGGACGTCAATGGTCCAAAAACTGCGAACACTCGATATTTGTCCTTCAGGACACGAAGATGGTGAGTTAATCTTTGCAGTAGCATTCATGTTGCTAGGCGAGAATCGAACCCCCATCCGCGAGTTTAGCACTGCCGTACGTTAGCTGTTGAACGAACATGGCGAGTACTTAACGCAGCGTGTTTTTTTGTTTTTTTTTATTTTTTAAACTTCCTTATTCCTATCCCCAGTGTAGGTTAGCATACCGGTCACTCCAGAGTGGTTAAAATCCCTGCCTTTCCTTTCCCTCCTGTTCCTACGTGTGCGCAGTAAAATTTCTGCAGTAGCATTTCAGTCTCAATACATTTAGAACCAGTTAAAGGTCAACGTTGAAAAAAAATCAGTAACGGATCGATTAAAAGCTGCATGTGCTCGAAAAGAGGCGGTCAGGTGGTTGAGGCATCTCTGTATTCTATTGGAGTGACAATGGGGCGAGAAGTTGGAAGAGGTGTAAGAATGTTCCATATACCATGCGGCAAACAAAATAATATACCAGTCAAGTAGCATGTGCATGGAATATTTCCCAAGCGTAAAAAATGCCACAAATGGAGGGAGCCAAAAAAGCCTAAACCAAGCGATTTTCAGAAAGCTATGTAGAGTAAAGAAGACCAGGAAATCCATATGAGGATGATACAATGACTCCTAATCTCCTGAAGCTCCCAACCCCCTTAAGAGAGTTTAGGAAAGTGGTTAGAATCATTTAACAAAAAGCAGTTCTTAACATTTGCTAGGTTCCGACAATTGTTTGCATTAACTCACAGTGCCGTAATTCTATTTCTTGCCACGATAATATCTAAGGCTATCATGCAACAGGTAGCGTAAGATAACGGTCGTTTTTGGCGCACATAACATAAGCACGTACTGCATGCGTTAGCTTTCCGTGTAGCAAAGGCCAGAAATATAATGTCCATTCATCGGTAACACAGAATTGAGCATCTAATAAATGTTCCTGAGTCTACGAATCACTTGTAACACGAGAAATGTGCTTTTAGGACGGTGGCTTTTGCCTTGTACCGACTGCGCAAGCTCGGACTCGTGCATTTGGAGTATGGCACGATGGGCGCCCTTCAAGTGTCGATACCCGGAAGTGACCAACACGTCACTGCAGGCTTGTCTGGAACGAAAGAAGGTGGGAGACGCCACAATCCACTTGTGATCGTCCTTTTGAAAATAACGCGCAAATTATGCTCGAGTGAAGCACGTAGCGGTAATGGCTGCCATGGCAACGGTATAATGTCGAGGAATACAGCAGACACTGTGGTGTCAGTGAATAAGGAAATCGGCAGGTGTAGCTTAGGAAAGGGTGGTGCAATACCGATGCGAATGAAACTTGCTGGCACGTGCCTCCGTCCTTAAGCAGGCACCAAAACACTCGGCTGCTGCTGTATTGTAAATCATAAGCTTGTTGTGGAGTTACGTGTATTGAGATTTAATGCAGGGCCGCAGGCAGAAGAGACAAACGTTGACTGACTTCGTCTTCAACATTTTCATAAATTAGTGTGCAATTAACAACGGACAACGATTGGTGACGCTCGGGTGCAGATCGGCAGCAACCTTTATAAAACTAGATCTGCCTGCACCAAACAACATTCCTTTTGTTCTGAATGAAAGAACGAAAAAAAAACAAAAAGAAAAGCAGAGCAGAAATGTTTTCACAGATCTGCTCACATGCAATGGAAGTATAGTTTAAGCATTAAAAGTTGCTAACCGTGTAAATAAAATGGTAACTCAAAAATGTAGTCACGCCTATGAACTGAACAGGTATTTCAATCAATCAATCAATCAATCAATCAATCAATCAATCAATCAATCAATCAATCAATCAATCAATCAATCAATCAATCAATCAATCAATCAATCAATCAATCAATCAAACTGACGATCGTGGCGCGTGCTTGGCTCGTTGACGCAGCAGCTGTTGTTCCTCGGAGACTCCACGAACCGCGGCATCATGTACTACGTGCTCATGCGACTCAACGGCACCCTGGGCGAGTGGCACCGGAGCCACGGCATTCGCGTTGCACGCGCAGCGCCTCAACGGAGGCCGCACCGCGGCGGGCTTCGCCTACTACCCGCAGTTCTGGCTGCCGCCCAACCGCCGACCCACGCTGGCCAGAACGCTGAACCAGTTGGTCGATAGGTGAGCGTTCGTGCACGTGAAAGAGACAAGACAGACAGATGAAGCCAACACCCGAGCACTCCGTACGGACGGTTACCAGCGAAGCTAAAGCGTAGTGCAGCCCCGTGTTTCATCGCTGTGTCGATCACGGCGCTTCACTAAAGACGCTTACAATCATTAGTTGCGTCTGTCCAGAAATTTCGATCGCCACCATGTGCGTAGTGCGGGCTTACCCGATTTCGGTAGAACGGCAAGATTGCAACCACTCCCCCTTCAAGGCGATTATCGGCACTCGCGTAATCGCCTTGAAGGGGGAGAGGGTCGTACTCTTGCCGCTGGTTCCATATATCAGCAACGAATGGTTTCTTTTGCTCGCCGCGAGATGACGCGAAAAGAGACTGTGGTTGCTCTCGCTTCAGCTTGAACGCGCTGCCAGCAGCCACCGGAGCGCGCAGGCCACGCGCTCCCGTGTTCCCTTTCATAAAAATTGACACTGTACATATCTTGAGCGCCACTTCGTAACGTTTTGCTCAATAAAGAAATTGCAGCACAGTCACCTTCCCTCCGCATGCTTCGCATAACATCGATTCCAATGGTACGGTCTAACCTCCCTGTCCTTCCTCATTTATTCCTCCTCCTCCTCCTCCTCCTCCTCCTCCTCCTCCTCCAATGGTACGGGGTATCTGCCGAACATTTATAAATCAGTCAGTCAAACAGGTGGCAAAATCTGTCAGTTGTGTACGAGTTCTTCATTGTTATTAGACTTCATTAAAAATTTTGGGGCGCATTGCGCTGAATTTCTGAGAATCTCATTTTTTTTTTTGCTTTAAGCCTTAAGTCGACCAGATTGCAGTTCTCTGTTTCAAGTGTGCTACGGCATCTTTTACCACGCAGAAAGCAAGAGAGGTGCGCCTGAACATGATACTGTCAAGTACGAAACTCCTTCATTAGCATTTTTTACATCTCTGGAAATTTTGCAGCATGCCGTCTCTGGAGAACAGCGAGAGAACAGTCCTGGTAATCGGTGGCGTGCAGTGGCTCAACGTCAAACAGCTGTTATCGCTGACGTCAACGCTGAAAGGGTATGCGGCACAAAGTTGCAAAATGTTGCTTCAAATTAGGTAGTAACAAAGAACCTTTGAGTCTTGATATTCACACACGCGTTTATTATTTTCGCTCTTGTTGTATTCAGTTTAGGTCCACAGAAACTTTCAGCGATGGTGATCGCAAACTGCGATTCAGTGTTCTAGAAGCTTCACCATTGTAGTATATCGTTTTGTCACGACTATATACGCTCGCAACGCGAACATTACAAATTATTCTGGAACTTACGTATATAGTCTCTAGCGATAACGTTGGAATGTTCGACGGCACATGTATAAATGCCTATTCGCGTCACCACTTGTCAGTTGATCGATGGTTCTGTTCGCCGCTATTAGTGCCTGCGCGTTGCTGTCATCCGACTTTCCGTTTACCGGCCACAATGTTCAGCCGAATAAACAGTTTCATCTTCGACATACAGTCTGCCTTCATGAACGTCAAGACCACGCGACAATATGCGAAATGCTTACATTAGCCGAGAGAAAAACGCTTACGGTTCTTGATATTTTTGCAGTGTTGTTCTTTACGCTTGAAAATTCCCGTCAACTCTGCGTGCACCTCACCGAATTCACAGTTTTGCCAAACCACATTTCCGCACAGTGTGGCGCGATGTTTGTTCATTGTAGCGCCTGCCCGCTGATTCGAACTCTACCTAATTCACTTAATTTTACAGTTCCCTTCAAGTTCGAATTAGCGAACTTTTACTGTATACGAATTCGCATCGAGATCTACGCCTTCACGTCAGGGCAGCACCACACACAGGCACACACACATACAAAATACATACTTTCGGTGTCTACAAACAATGGTTGCACTAAATTCAATGATGAACTGTGTGTTTGCAAGAGTGGGCCTTCGGTGGTGCACGATGTCATGTTTTCAACAATTATAGACAGAAGCTCGTAATTAGAGGATTGCGTAATGTAGCCACCCGCACGCCAGGGAAAAAGTGTGGCACACAATGTACGATGATATAATGCATCGTGAAATTGTGCATTTTAGCAGGACAATTTTCGGTATATTGAACGAAACTCCATTCGCTGTAATGTAGCGTAATAGCTTGTTTTTCAGTATACTTGTTGCTCACTGCTTTTCGTATGACTGTGAGAGAACATCACGCTTTTGGTCTTTTTTATTTGTTCTGTATTTCATAAATAAATGCAGCTTGTACTTATGGGAGCATAATAAATGCTGCGTAAATTTTTTGCCATCGTTATTGTTATTTGAATTGATAGCATCATCGTAAAAAACGAGACAACACAATGTGTGATGTGCATTGCAGACTTGGCCTGGATAAAACGAAGGTTATCATAAAGACGTTCGGATCTGGCTTTCACCAACGAACAGATGGCGTTCACCAGAGCATCTTGGTAAGTTCGTATGCCGCCATATGTAAGTAATTGAAAAGAAGGCCCGAGTGTAATTTCAAAGTGTTTTTATAGCGAAAATATGTCTATTAAAACATTACACTCGAAAACAACATGTTGAGGACTACTACGATTGTGTGACATGAAAGAAAAATTTCGTTGTGCCTCATAAAACAAAGGACTGAAAGAAACAGAAACATAGGTATGCCGTATTTTCATTTATTTCTACTTGTTTGTTTCGCAATTCACTTCCGTGTCGATGAAGACGGAAACCACGCTCAGAACGTCGATCAGATCAGAAGTTTGGAGAGCCTTACTGACACCAGCACAAAATTAAGAGCACAAACATTTGAAAACCAAGGGCTGTCTCCAAAATATCTAACCATGACTCTGCAAAAAAAGTGAAAGAAACTAAAAGGATGTAGAGTATTCATTTGTAGGAATCGCCATAAGGCGAAAGTGAAGGGTGTATTCAGTGAATTAGCGGCCCCTTTGTTGGACAATAAGAAACACAAGAGCGTAAGTTAGTGTAGTGTGCAAAACAATTGAGTTGTAAAAGACTCACAGGGTCTCCTATACTCGATTGAAAGTCGAAAGTCATCATTTTTTTTCGAAGTCAATGTATTGAACGGCCCGCGCACCCCTCCGAAACTTTGTGCAACTGACGTGGTTTTGTCAAGGAGGTTTAAAAAGAAGGTTATGTAAGGCCTTCGTGAAATTGTCATCACGTGACGTCACGTTGACGTCATATGTGATGCCGTCATGTTATTCTTTTTTTTTTTATATGCATCACTCGTTTTAACGCCGCTGACGTGGGACGCCAGTAAAACTTAGCGTTTTATGAGGCATTCGCTGTAATTAACCTTTCGTCATTTTTCAACACACCACCGAGAAGCTAGTACCTTTTCTCGCTGAACACACAGCTATAGCGTCTGGCTCCTAGTCCTTGCATTCCGAAGCAATCTCAGTGCGGAGCTTGCCGAAATTAGAAGTGAACTATACGTCTATTTACTTTCCGCTCGGAATACTACCAAGTCTGAAGATGAAAGTCGTGCAGATCATTTCCTAAGATAAAAGTTATACGAAGCCACCAAAACGCTCCTGAAATACCTTATAGAAATGAAACGCGCTTATTATTAGACAAAATTATACTAGTGAAGCCGAATCACGTGGCCGTCTCATTATGAAGGGCGTGTACAGTGACCATCGGAAGATGTGGGGCGGTTCGGTTAGCATGCAGTAAACGCTTTGATGCTGACTTTCTGCTGATTGCGTTCCGGCGCGTGTTCTGTTGAATTGTTATTGATGTTCACTGTTGTGAGAATAAATTTCTACAAACACAACGGCTGGGACGCTCGAGCCGCACAAGGCCAGCGCTCACGCTAGCAAGGAAGCGAGGCACCAAAAAAGGAGGGCGCGCTCGAAACCCACAGGCTTTACACCGAAATTAACAAACTGTTTCAAGATATCTCGTTGACGAGCTGGTATTAAGTGGTGTACATAGAATTTAGGGCGCAGGCACACTCAATTGTATCAAGTTATGGGGGGAATAATTGAAATTCCCAGCAGTTCTATACTTCTATGCTAAATGTTTCTTTATCCATAAAACTTTTGAGCCTTGGCTATCGCATTCCTTGTTACTCACAGGCATACGTACTCTGAGACACAGGTCTCAGAAAGGTGCGGCTGACGGCATTCTTGATGGAGATGTTATTATATTGCGTGGTTAACGTCGCACTACAGCTGCTTCTTTGTTACTTTCCATATCTTCTAGAGAAACCAACAAAATCTAGCCAGGACAAACATCGATATCATCCGTCAAGCATGCGAGCTTGGCATGGAAGTGGTCGACACGTTCAACATGACTACGGCCAGGTTCAAGGATTTCATGCAAGGGAAACTGCGCCTGCCACTTCCACAAGGTGGGTTGGCCTGTTAATGCCATTTACTCATTGGGTCACAATCGCAATAAAGGCTACTTTTAGGTGAAACTTTACCCACTTGTTAGTAGTAGTATTAGCAGCATTAAAAAATATTATTATGTACAGAGGCCACACATGGTAGAACCTCAGTGCCCGGTAGGTAATTGTCACGATGATGATGATGATGATAATGATGATGATGATGGTGGTGATGATATGTGGAGTTTAATTTCCCAAATCCACCATATATGATAATGAGAGACGCCGTAGTGGAGGACTGCGAAAATCTTGACCATTTCACGTTCTTTGACGTGCGCCTAAATATGAGCACACAGGCCTACATCATTTTCGCCTCCATCGAAAATGCAGCCGGCGCAGCCGTGACCCGATCTCGCGCCCTTCGGGTCAGCATCTGAGTACCTTAGCCACTAGACCACCGCGGCGGGGCATAACTGTCACGAGCAGTGGCCTATAGGAAGACAGAAGACGATGAGAAGCGGGTAATTTAAGATGGCGAACGGCGCGAGCACGCGCATCGTACCGCGAGGCCCGAGGCACGTGACCCGAGCTGCGATCGGCGCGCGAGCAGCGATGCACTAAAATTGTCTACGTGCAACAAGAAGGTCGCATTGCCAGCAAGCGCACTGTTGACCGGAACGTCAGGACAGCGACTCGGCAACCCGTCGCTTGGGCGTCCCGAGAAGCAGACGGATACCTCGACCTGCATGCTTCGACGGAGGCTGCTCGGGATGCATGTAACCACGCACAGCAAGCGCTGACGTTCTTGGCGCATACCCCGTTTGAAGCAAGACGACCAAGACAGTACTCAGTGGCCGCATCAGCTCGAAGAACGAGGTATCCCCAAACGCTGCTAGGCCCAACCGCGGAAGCTTCCGCCACGTCACCGACATCAGGCGACGACGACGACGACGAGTGACCAAGTCGGTGGCGGCAGGGACGGCGGCGTTTGTCGAGAATCCCGACAATGACGCAGCATGACCACTAAAGTGCATCAAAAGAGCACACTGGAAAACGAGGCGATATTTGTGATGTATATTTACGCGACGCCAAGCGTAAGCCGAGATGGCAGGAGAGAGCGCCCCACATCCCAGAATCACGTCGTCTTTCTCGCTGCCTCTCTTGCTTTTTCAGCCAGCGTTATGTAGTCTTGCAACAATATATCTATATATATAAAGTATTCTCATACGAATGAGCGGAGGTGATTTATATGGCATCATGTTTTACCTGTGAAAGAATTTGGATATAGTAGCTACAGAAGGTGGTAGTCAAACATTTAATGAATATTAAATAGTTAACATTAAGAGAGAGAGAGAAATAATTAAAAGGAAGAGACAGGGAGGTTAACCTAGACGAACTGGTTTGCTACCCTGTACGGGGGTGGGAAAAAGGGTCGGAAAGAGGATAGGTATAAAATAAATTAGGAAAAAAAAACCACATGCACACACATTCAGGGAGTTCCGATCACAGTCGTTTGGACAGGCCGGTTGAACGCAAGAAGCGCAGGAGCGCCTTCACAGCCTTCTTCTGCGACATAAAGTCCTGTCGGCAGCGCAGGAGTCTTTCTTCCGAGAGAGGCTGATTGTCCAGTTCATCTAGTGCACTGCAGAGTGACTGTCTCTGCGAGCAGTATTGTGGGCATTCACACAGAATGTGCCAAGTTGTTTCATCACTGCCACAATGGTCACATGCAGCAGTGTCAGCCATTCCTATGCGGAACGCGTACGCATTGGTAAATTCGACGCCCAACCATAATCTGCACAGCATAGTAGCGTCTCGTCGGCGTAATTCCGGAGGAATTCGAAGACTGAGGGTTGGGTCTAAAGTACCTAACCGTGCATGGATGAAATGTGACTCGTTTCATTGTGACGTGGTGCGCTTGCGAGCAAGCATGCGGAGTTTCCGTGCAGCGTCAGTTCTGGAAAGCGGAATTGATATTTCATCGCTTTCAGAATGGGCAGAACGGGCAGCTCGATCGGCCCGTTCATTGCCAATTATTCCACAGTGACTTGGAAGCCATTGAAAGGCTATTTCATGTCCTTCCTCAATAAATTTGTGAGTCTTTTCTGCAATATCAAATACCAGCTGTTCGTACGGGCCGTGGCGTAAAGGTGATAAAAGGGATTGCAGTGCCGCCTTTGAGTCACTGAAAATTGTCCATTTTTGTGGCTGTTGATCGCTGATGAATTCCAATGCGGCACGAAGAGCTGTGAGCTCTGCTCCCGTTGATGTCGTGAGGTGGGAGGTCTTGAATTTTCTTGTCGTGTCTTTTATCGGTATAACAAATGATGCCGTTGAACTCTTCCGTAAAACAGAGCCGTTGGTGTATACGTGTATACAGCCTTGATACGTCTTGTATAACAAGAGTAGAGCAAGCTGTCTGAGAGCAGGTGACGACATATCTGCCTTTTTCTTGATGCCAGGTATAGTTAGCCTGATGTTAGCCTGAGTCAGGCACCAGGGAGGAGTCGAAGGCGTGACGGCGGGTATGAAGCATGTTGGCAAAGAATTGCGGTATGTGATGACCGTTTGGCAAAATGACGAACGTGGTCTGTCTGCTGGTAAAGAGGCTAGGTGGTGGCAAGGTGTCCGAGCAATATGCCTTATATGTGTCCTGAGTGCCTCAACATCGATATGTGTCGTGATGTCGTGATGATGTGGTCACCGGCGATAGCTATAGTAGCCATTGTCGACGCACTACGAGGCAAGCCGTGGCAAATCCGGAGTGCCTGGGACTGAACACTCTGTAGCGTTCGAAGGCTTGTTTTGCTTGCATTGCTCAATGCCGGTAAACTGTACCGCAGGAAACCGAGAAAAAGTACTCTGTACAGCTGTAGCATTGCACTGGGAGACATTCCCCAAGTCTTCCCTGCAAAGAACTTCAGTATATTACAGATGTCCATTAACCGTTTCTTCATGTACGAAACGTGATCGCTCCATGATAGATTCCTGTCAATTATGACGCCCAAAAACTTGTGCGATCGAACGTATGGTACAGTTTGACCATTGATGCTTATAGTGTACTCATCCATAGGCTTTCGTGTAAAAGCTACGAGGGCGCATTTCTCGGAAGAAATTTCCAAGCATCGATTTCTGAGGTAGCGTAATGTTTCAGTGGCAGCTTTTTGAATTCTCCCTCGTAACTGCAGGCGTGTTACAGCCGATGCCCAAACGCAGATATCATCTGCGTACATTGATAGCCTGACCGTGCTTGGCAGATGCTCAGTGAGAGCAATTAACGTAAGATTGAACAGCACAGGGCTGAGTACGCCACCCTGGGGGACGCCACAGTGGCTGTAATGTCGAGAGGTTGGACCATCTTCAGTGCTCACAAAGAAGGATTGCATTGACAAATAACTACGTATCCAGCGATACATCCGACCACCTACTCCTATATCTTCGAGAGCGGTGAGAACAGCTTCATGCGTAACGTTGTCATACGCCCCTTTGACGTCTAGGAACAAAGATGCGCAGAGACGCTTACGGCCTTTTTCGTGTTGGACATTAGTGACCAGGTCGACTACGTTGTCAATCGATGCTCGACCACGCCGAAATCCTGCCATGGCATCTGGGTAGATGTTGTTATACTCCAAGAACCACTCTAGGCGTCCAAGGATCATCCTCTCCATAACTTTGCAAACACAACTGGCCAATGCGATCGGACGATAGGATGAGAGGTCCAACGGTGACTCGCCTGGCTTCAGAAGTGGAACTAGGCGACTTGTCTTCCAGGTTGTCGGGAGCGTTCCATCTTGCCAGGATTTGTTGTACAACTCCAAAAGGACGATTTTCGCGCGTTCACCCAGATGACACAAGGCCCTATAAGGAATTCTATCGGGCCCTGGTGCCGACGTGCGTCCACACAAAGCTAGTGCTGCTCTGAGCTCCACGATGGAAAAAGGCATATTCATGCGGGAATCCAGTGTTTGTGGACAGTTAGTCGAGGGTAATAGGCTATTTGGCACTGCGAGTGGCCCAGACACTCTGGCACAGAAGTCTTCTGCCACGTCAATGCCGCGTCTCTGTTCAAAAAGTGCGAGAGCCCTGAATGGTGCCCACTGAGTGGGTTTTGTGCGGAGACCTCGTACCGTCTTCCACAATTGGGATAAAGGTTTTCGTGGGTCAAGTGACTCACAAAAAGCAGTCCAACGTTGTGACTCGAGTTTATTTATCCGACGCTGAATCTTCTTTTGTATACGTCGAGCAATCCGTAAGTCCTCTATTGCCTCCGTGCGTCGGTATCTTCGTTCATCACGCCGTCGGATTGCTCGAAGTCTTTCTAGCTCGATGTCAAATTCTGTTACTTTGACAGAGCAGGTGAGGGTACACGTAGTATCGTGTATTGTGCTTTTAATTATCTCCTCTATGTCGAGGGATATGTTTGCTTCACATTTCTCTTCCATGCGAGACTGGAATTTCAACCTGTCCACTCTCTGAACACTATCGCGTATCTTAGCATGGGACAATCTTTCGATTTGACCTAAGTGGAAATGTGGTCACTTCTATGCGTTTCAATGTCTGGAAACCACTCAGCATGCCTGACGAGGCCTCGTGAGACAAAGGCCAGGTCAAGGCAGCTGCTATACCTTGAACCACGTAGGAACGTTGGACTGCCATCATTTAGCAAGAAAAGTTGGTTGTCGGAGGCGAAGGATACCAACTTTCTCCCTTTAACATTGGTCTTCGAACTTCCCCAGATTGTATGATGGGCGTTGAAGTCGCCAATTATAATGTATGGGTGAGAAGTAGCTGACAGGATACCTTGTAGTCTTGTATGGTCGAAACGGCTTGACGGAGAGAGGTAGGCACCCACAACCGTGATGGTAAGTCTCCTTTTCACTGTTATACTTATATATTGATTGTCGTCTTGGGGTGACACCGGATGATGAATGTAGGTGAGGTCGCGGCGGATAAACATCAGAACTTTGCTATTGTCCGCAGTTGTAGACGACATGAATGACTCATAACCAGAAAGTCTGATTTCTTTCTGCAAATTTGGCTCGCAGATGACAATGATAGGGAACTTATTGGTGTATACGAACCGACGGAAATCGGCAATGCGTGACCTCAGTCCCCGGGCATTCCATTGAATAATAGTTGCTTTTCGGACCTCTTCTCTGAAAGGCAGTGGCTGGTGAGCCATTGTTTACTCAAGCGCTGCGAGTACTGGACTCAAAGCGTCCAGTAACTGCAATGCACTTCTTGCTGATGGTGTGCATGTCGCTTAACAACAAGCGGATGGCGTTAATTAAGGGTCGCAAAAAAGCTATCACTTGCTGATCTGTGTTCCGCAAGTCCTCCATTGCAGCGGCTTGCTCTGAAGAAGACGGCTTCTGCTGCGGCTCTTCTGAGCGTTGTGTACGCGTAAGTGGAGGCCACTCTTCTGTAGGAACTGGTCTGCCCCTTTGCTCTTTTCCAACGTCTGTGGTTGCCGTGCTGTAAGCTGCAGCTGGCGATCTTTCCTGGTGCGTCGACTTATCGCCTGAAGTTGGTGCTCTCCGACGTGAAGACCTTCGACGGCGACGTCGTCTTCACCGGGTTTTCTCGGCAGCTTCTTTGTGGGTTGAGCTGTCTCGTGCCATTTGCTTCAGAATAGAAAATTCTTTCTTTATGTGTGGACATTCTTTCGAAGAAGCCTTGTGAGCACCCTGACAGTTAGGACACTTCAGTGTGGTAGCGCTACAGTTCTCTTCCGCGTGTGGTTCGGCGCACCGGGGACACGCTGCGGAGCTCCTGCAAACACCCTTTACATGGCCGATCTTCTGACAATTGAAGCATTGCACGGGTTTAGGAATGAACGGTCTAACTTGTTGACGAAAGTGGCCAACCTTCACGTATGCGGGAAGACAGTCGCCTTTGAACGTTACTCTCACACAGCGTGTGTTACCAAGCCGTCCAACGCTGACAATGACGTTGTCTTGACTCGCTGGTTTTATAAGTACTGGAAGGTCCGCGTTTGGGATTTCCGTGTTAATGTCGTAAATGACACCTGATGTGGTCGCTCCATCGGCTGGTATGATGGACCTAACTGCAATGTTTCCCAGTTGTGTTACTTGTTGCAGCGGGCTCAGCGCACTCGGGTGCCGCACATCGACAGCCAGGATGTTTCTTCTCGTATTAAGCCGTAGGTCTTTAATCTCGTTCGGCACAGTGTTCTCAAAATAGAGCGAAAGCGCTTGCCTGTTCAGAACACGCAGACTTTCGGTAACGTTCTTTGGCACAAACAGGATGGAATGGGGCCATCGCTGGGGCGCCGTTTTCACGGTGGCTGTACTTGACACCGGCGATGGATTGATGATCCGTCGCTTGGCCTTGCGGTGCAGGACAGGTTGAAAGCCGTCGTCTGAGGACTCGTCGCAAGATGAGGAGTACAGCTCAGTGTCATCGCTCTCACTGGATGTGTTTCCTCGCTTCCTCGAGGTAGTGGCCGTGGTCAAACCGGAGTCGGACGTCGCCTCGTGAGGTTGTACATCCATTACCGCAACCTACGGGGCAATACACCCCACAAATGCAGCGAAAAGTCCAGAAAAGCACTGAGACGAGCGAGATGTGTTCTACAAAGAATCACTTCGTCGTCCTCACCAGTTAACATTAAATGGTTTAATGTAACCATTTGTAACCATTAAATGATTACAAATGGTTACATTAAATGGTTACAGGACCTTATATTGGCCACCTCCCTTCACAGCACTAGCTGGAACCCCTATTTAGGAGCTCTATTGGCAAGCAACACCACCTGAGACCGTTGAACCAGGGGCTTTTGGGCCTTCACGTCCTGACAACCGAGCAGGGCCGCCTCCCAGTACATCTCTCTTGTATTTAGGGTACGGGAGGGGGACACGTGGCGGTGTTAATAGAACAGCCATTCTTTATATACGTATACTATTTGCTATGTTGTTGTCAAATAAAACGTATGCGATCATGTTGCAGGGCATTTCACGGTGAAATCGAAGGAGTATAACGCAGGACGTCAACCGTCTCGTTTAGAGTTGAACACCGTAGTTTAACCAATTTTGATTGCCATTTGTCAAAATGGCTCATTGTCCGAGGTGGTAATTCATGATACTTGAAATACGGGCGCATAACTTGAACAGGTGTCTGTCCTTGTCTTTCTAAGCACCTGTTACACACACTAATTTCAGGTTTGGTCGCAAAAGTGAAACCCATAAAAAGTTTGCGATTTAAGAATGCCGAACGCATCTGAAAAGCGACCGTACCAGCTGTATTATGTAACTTCAGCAGTTCGCTTACAAGAGAAGTGTTTGTATTTACGTTTGGTTATTCCTAAGATCTCAGACCTCCGTATTTGTTTCCTGGGCCATCTTTACAAAGATAGCCTCCTGTATACATCGACTGTGTACATCGAGTAAAGTGTTTCCCAGGAGGCCGACGTACTTCCGATGCCATCAGGCTAAGATTTTTTCGTGGCCTGTATGCTGATCACTAAGGTAGGTTGCATCCAAAGAGGTTACGTTTTAGTATACCCCCCTTGGTTTCAGCTCATTTCAATTGTATACTTCATGGACAAGGTGATGGAAAGAGAGAGAGAGAGAGAAAAAAAAAAGCAACAGCAAAGGTAGGGAGGTAAACCTAAGACGCCGTTGTTAGGTTAATCAGATTGCAGCCGGTTTGCACTTTACTAGGGGCGATGGGTAAGGGGAGAAAAATAATAGGCAAACAAGCAAACAGAAAACAAACGGTCATTGATAAGCACAACACGCACACTCCTCAGAGGAATGACAAGCCCATCAGCTTTAAACGCACTGCAATATCAAAACCTTGAAGCCGTTTTTTTTTGCACAATTAAGGCTTCGTTAATACCTAGTTAACAGTCTATTTCACCTAAGACTATCCTAAAGACGGGTTGTTCTCCGAAACAACTTGCAGTTTATTATGTTCTCTGCGTGTGTGGTAAAAGCTGCTACGTCTGGGAGACGTATCGACTAGGAGACTGAAATACTCAAAAACCAGCTCCGAGCTAGATGATCAAGACAGGAAGCGTACCTCGGTAAATCAGCTGTTGTGAAATTATTGCTGAATATTTTTCCTCCTCTATGGTACAACTTACTAACGGTACATAAGCGACATGAAATGTGTGGACATTCTTATGCAGTTGCTTTATAGAAGCTCGAACATCCCAAAACAACCAAACGTTTAGGCTCGCCATGTGACAGCGTGACTGATATTGTGTTTCCGCGTGGTCACTCGATCTTCAGAAAACAAGTGTCACAACTTCTTTTGAAATTTTTGAACGCCACAGACCGCGCATGTGACTGGTGATGAGTGACAATTATGTTTGGGGTACGGTGCAGCGAGCTAGAGTACCGGCACTACACAGCATGTGGAATACCGCCGGCCTATGCAGGCTTACGTCGGGCTGTGCGCGATTTTTTAAGAGCTTGCTCGTGCTTAGCTAAAGAAACAAACAAATGAAAGGACATTAGCTACAATTAGCAAATAGTAAACTGGGCGGGGCAACTGCCTGCAAATCATGCAAGGCTAGATCCGCCAGCTACCTACAACATCCTAAACCTAAACCTACATTCGCACTAAAGAAAAGCGCCGTGGCCTCATGATTGGAGGGCGCTTTTTCAGCTAGTAGAATAAGCAGGCTGTGATCGTCGAGTAGTAAACAATAATAATTTATCGTGTTTTACGGGCCAAAACCACGACACAATTATGACCCACACCATGGTAGAGGACTCCGAAAATTTCGACCATCCGGCGTTCTTTAACTTGCTCTGACATGGAGCAGTAGGCGGGCCTCTATCATTTATAGGCTCCATCGATATGCGTCCCCCGGAATCGAACCCACGACGTTCGGCTCAGCAGCCGAGCACCTTAAACACTGTACCATCGCGGTGACTGATAACATTTAACTGTGAAAGAAGAAAAATTATAGGTTATTTCGGAAATTACGCGGATATGAGTGTCTCCAAAAAAGTTCTGCAATTGAATTTTGTTTCGCAAGATCCCGGATATCGAGCTTGAACCTAATATTTTTGTGCGAGCTACAGCTTATGCGTTCGCATGTCTGACGTGCGAGTTGCCTCAGCTTCAGAGCATTGTAGGTTAAAACGGGCATAATGTTAATATGACCTGATTTTTAACCAATTTTATAATGAACATACCACCCAGCCTATAACCATGCCATAAACCACTGCTATAGTGGCCTTTTGAATAACTTTTCATGCATTTTCAATTGTTCCCTTGTTCCAGGTGGTCAGCGACTCTTTGACGACGTATCGCGTCGAGGGTCCCGTGAATCAAGCTTACAGCGACATTCTGCTGAGTCGTCTTTGCCAGGGACACAGGACAAAGCCAGCGTGAGCGAGGCTTACGTCGCGTCAACCTACGAAAAGGATACCACGTCTTTCATCCAACAGTGTCCAGCAAAGTGTGCGGTGCTTCAAAGTGTACGGTGCACAAAAACAAAAAAAAATTGTTGGAACTCGTTGGACCAACGAGAAGAACGGGATACCGACAAAAAAAAAAAAACATCTTGAAGACTCCACAACTCGTCGAGTGGTGCAGCTTGCAGCAATAATGATCATAATCATGACACAATGCTTATTTGCAGTGACTGTATCGTTCCTAAACGCTCGCTGATTGCCCATTTTGCGTCGCCATTGCCCTAATAAGCATGGCCAACACAGTAAAAGTACTCTACACATACAGGCAGCTTACTGCAGGCGTATGCCTGCAGTGAGGTCTTTTTAGCACAAATCTAAACCTAATTCCACGTGGTTATCTTGTCGCTCCTTCCACCTCTCGTTGCATGATAAGCTGCTATTCTCGCTATACCCAGTCTGTCACCCTCACGCTCCATGTGATTTCACTTCCCTTAACCAGCTGCGAGTTTGTGCATGTAGTGGCTGTTATTTCCTTCCGTCTTTATTTCTAGCACTTTTTTTTCAGAATGAATTCAAATAAGCAATTTTATCCCTTATTTCTGTCTGAAACAACCCACAAGTGAGAAATCCTGTCGAAGGCTGAGACATCATGCTGACATGTCGGTTGAGTTTAATTACAGGAAACATGCTATTCATTTTCTTGAACAAGAATCAATTTGTGGACGAAAAGAATGAACGTCAAGTTTAAAAGTAATAATTAACCGATACTAAGTGAGTCACTGTCAAATTCAGGAAACCATTTCACTACATAAGACCAAAAGGTACCAAGAACGCCTACGGCTAGTTCTTCATTGTGCACTCATAGCATATTTTGAGTGACTATTTAATGAGTGAGACTGCGTTCTGCTTTTTTTTTTTTGGAACAGCACTGTAAAGGGGGTATCATGTCTTTGGCTCGACCCATCAACTGAAGGACAGAAGAAACAAGAGATAAAGGGAATGCAGGGATGTTAACCATTCTTGAAGAACCGGCATGCTGCCATTACACTGGGCAAATGAATGGGGGAGTTTAGGAAATGGAAAAAGAGAGAGAGGGAGCACGCATGAAGTCGCACACATCACAGTCGTTATAACATCATTGGCGCAAATCTGATGCTTTCGAGAAGTCAAGTACCGTTATCGTGTACTGGAATGGGATACACCATAGTACCACCTTCGTCACCTTCACCCACGATGAACTTTCAGTTACTGCCTACATTGCTGCTGATTATCTGCTATACTGGGTAAGTAAGCGCGTCGTATTCTGGTCGGTATACCGCAGTACAGCCGTTGACCGATGCGGGTGCATTGACCCTGGGCGAGGTCAGATGAGGTCAGGGCTTAAGCGTTTCGTGTACTGAGAGTCGATAGCTACGATACTATCATTACGAAAGTTAATTGCCAACTAATGATTATAAGCGACGTAATTGTTGCTCAGATGAGACGCTCAGGCTCTTCGAGAGCTCCGGGAAACTTGTTTAAGGTACTCTCGAGTGGCAACAAATGCCCACGTGACTTTACCTTGCCAGCACACGTGCTCTGTTGCTCCCTTTGTGCACCGATTCACTACTACACACTGAAGCTGATACGAAGAAAGAACAACTGGCTATCACTACGTTTCTTTTCTTTTCCTAATTTGTTACTGCATGAGACACAGGCGGTTTACACGTACGGTTTATTAATTTTATATGTTTGTCTAGAATGTCTACGCTATCCTACTTCACGTTTTGTAACACTTTGATCGTTTAGGCAAGCCAGAGAAGCAGCGGCACATCTTTAACAGACTTAAAAGGTGTTATTTCGGCTCATTCATCACGTTGAAATGCTGCCTTGTGGTTAGAATCACAGCTCTCTGGAGCAAGCGAACGTGCCCACTCATACTGACGTGTTGGATCAGGCTGTAAAGAAAAGTTAGTGTGTGTCTTGTTATCAATCTCTAGCGGCGGATGAGTTGCTCACTGGAAAGCCTTCAATTGGTGACGCGCTCATCAGAATGCTTAACACGCATGCGCAAATGCATGCGAGGTTATAGACGTAGCACGGATAATTGGGCTAATTGGTATTGGTTCATTTTGTAACTGAATAAGGCCGCGCGCACAGACACGCCGGCACTAGAACAGGAAATCGCGCAGACCAAGTGTTCGAGTGTCCGTGTCTTTGTGCGCGACCTTGTTCAGTTAGAAGATGTTGTAGACTGTATCCAAGCAGTGATCGCGGGGTGCTTCAGTTTGAGATGACTGCACAACAAAAGTAAACTTCGTAAAGACGGAACGTACTGAGATACGCAGGTGAGCGATAGCGAAGAGAATAAAGAGAAAAAGCGACAGTTTTTGTAACTGTTGAGGAACTTCAGGAGCCGATTCCACAACGTAGCCCAATCACTGATTGATTTTGGTCGTAGTGCAAGGCTGACAAGTATTGAAGCATATGCGTAAAATGCGCCGGTACATGCTTACTCAGTGACACGAGGCCAGTCGAACCGCTCCTCAAGAAGCACTACGCAAGCAGACAGACACAAACGAATCCTCTGCGGCTGATTTATTGTAATCCGGTTGAATCAACATGTGCCGATCAAGTCCACCTGCCTTTTTTTTTTCCTTTTCGATGTTCAGCTGATGGCAGTTCGAGAGCCCCCGAACCCCTTATTGGAAGAACGCGTGACGTCTAACTTTACGTATTTTTTTACGTAAAGGAACAGTTGTTCCTGTTATGAAAACTTGATTTTCTGGGATAATACCACTTTTATTGTGAAAATGTATTTCTTTTTCAAATGTTAAAGTACCAAAATCTCGTCCGAAAGCCAATTAACTTTACATAAACCTAAACCACATAAAATACAGTAATTATAATTATTCGCATTAATTAATATGACAGACAGATAGATAGATAGATAGATAGATAGATAGATAGATAGATAGATAGATAGATAGATAGACAGACAGACAGACAGACAGACAGACAGACAGACAGACAGACAGACAGACAGACAGACAGACAGACAGACAGACAGACAGACAGACAGACAGACAGACAGACAGACAGACAGACAGACAGATAGATAGATAGATAGATAGATAGATAGATAGATAGATAGATAGATAGATAGATAGATAGATAGATAGATAGATAGATAGATAGATAGATAGATAGATAGATAGATAGATAGATAGATATGGCTTCTTCGTTACGTAATTCGCTCAGACGGACAAGCGGTTGGAGTGCTCAAGCTGCGATGGAAGCGGTACGCTCATCTCTTGCAACAGCACCCTATGAATTTCGAAATGCCTCTCATTCCAAAACCACCCAGGGGCACCTAGAGGCGACAGAGAGAGAGAGAGAGAGAGAGGCGCGACGTGTTTCTACATCCAGCACTTCTTTTTCTCCACCCTAGCCCTTCCACGCAGACGCCTCAAAGTTCTCTCTTCAGAGTTCCGTGTCGAAACACCGGGGTCGAGACGGGGCCAGCTGAGGCAAGCGACGCTAGAACGCCGCATGCATTTGGAAAATATGCAGTGTCCCGCACAGCGAGCGGGCCTTCATGCGTGGCTCCATCTCAACAAATCCGTGCAGTGAATTTGAAGCTACGCGTCACGTAACGACCACCGCAATAATGGTCACCAGAACAAGGCATTCCTATGTCTGATGGCCTTCGGCATGGTACGCCCACAAGCTCGAAGCCTATTGCAACTGCAAAACAGGCACACCCGTTTACACGAAGCTGATTTTCACTGAGGCCAAAATGGAAAGCAGGGTTACATTTCGGTGGGCTCATTATCAAAACTTTCTAAACACTGCCATATACGCGGCATAATATGAAACGCAGCTCAATCGCAATCGAAAATTTCCCAGATCGAACTTAAAATACTTGCGACCACGCATGCGGAAACAAAGCAAAAGTTGCCTAACGATAGAAATTATCAATGGCGTAGCCATATATATTTTTCGAATGGTGCCGTAACAACCTTCAACGTATACACATGTTAGCATGTGTGTTTGAACGTGTTTTCATGCGACACGATATTTCGCATGTGTACACGCCAGCGTTGCTTTATTAACACCCCCCATTCACCGTTGATTTAACTTAAAAAATAATTTAGAAACATCCCCGAGATACACCGACATTTTCATACCTGTTAGCAGCCAAGAAAGGCGCACTTCTTATCATAAACAAAGGTCCTTATCGAAACAAACTCTTGTTGCCGATTCAAGGTGAGCTGCATGTTTCACCGCACTGCACAAAATTATTGTGGCGAAGTAGAGTTGAAGACTGGAGCAATACTGAAAAACATGACAAAGAAAGAAGTACACGAGAGGGGAAAGAGAGACGCACTGCTCGAAATTGGGAGCATTAGCCGCCTACGTGATTTCAGTGTATAATGTATGCAAGCGATCTCCCTCTCCTGCATCTCGCGCACCGTCGCTGATTTTGCAAGTGCTGCTAGCGGTGAAGATTAATGGTGGAAATTGCTCGTGATGGAAATTGCTCACCTGAACCAAACTTAGCCTCCCTCGTTACAAAATAAAGAAAAAAATGGAGCGAGAAATAAAACTAAAAAATGAAGAAAGTGACGTTGCAGAGCATGTTATCTAGTACCGTGCAGAAAAGCGGCGCGTTTTAAGTGGTTCTAACGTTATGTCCTCAGCGTCATATTTTGGTCCGGCTGCACTATTTATTTCCCGAAAAAAAAAAAAACCGAAAAGACCTCTCACATTTATTTTCATGCTTGCTAACAGAAACATAAACATGCAGAAGCTATAGTCGAAATCCTTTCTAAGCTCAGCGCCCGCACACATACACAGAAACGTATATATATATATATATATATATATATCTATATATATATATATATATATCTATATCTATATCTATATATATATATATATATATATATATATATATATATATATATATATATATATATATATATATATATATATATATATATATCGTTTTTCCTCGCTTTCCCGTGTTTTGACACAATAATAATGAAATCTAACAGACAATAATGCCAAGGAACAAGGAAACTGGGGTTCTTTAACGTGCACCCCAATCTGAACACAC